CTCTGCCATGGGACGGCCGGGTCAAGTTTGATTTTTGTTTTCTGGAGAATCTTTAAACGAAGCAAAAAAAATCAAGCGTAATTGTCCAACTCGTTTGAATATCCACCGTTTTGAGATGTTTTTGCTTTTTTTTTTACACACGTATAAAAATGTTCCCCGATTGCAGACGCTCCAGGCATGCTCGACTTTAAAGGAAAAGCCAAGTGGAATGCGTGGAACGCCAAGAAAGGTAAATCCTGTTGTGCACACGATTCTTTTGGATCAGAAATTGCTGCTTGATTAACAATAGAGCCCACTTTTTGTAACAGCCGCTTCAAATCCCTGGAATGTGAGCACGCTTATTTCTTACGAATTTGCACCGCATATTTTAGCTTGATGGATTGAATCCTAAACTATTTTGTTCTCCCTCTCATTCATTCAGGCAAAAGCAAGGACGACGCCATAGCAGCATACATTGCGTTGGTGGAAGAACTCAAAGTGAAATACGGATTTTAGTAAAGTCCTGGCGATAGTGTGAGCCCACTCATCCACCCACACACCTTACTATATGCTGGTGACTTTTGAGCCAATCATGAACTTTAAATATCAATAACATTTGTCGTGCTTTCCATTTCCATGTTAGTGTTTTTTTTATTGTGATGTAACATCGAATAAAAGTCACTAAAACCTATTCTGTGTTTGCTTCTCGTTGCTCTGCAAAGTTAAACCTGCTCACAGCAAAGGTGGTGTACACAAGCAATGCTGGAACTGTGTGTGAAATGTGTGTGAGATTAAAGTACTGATCTGCATGTCTGGATTAGCACAGCTCCAATATTTTAGAACACACTTTCCAAGTTACATTGCAAGCAGGGTAGAATGTTGAACAACTCAAAAGGTTTTTTTCATCGAATGCATTAATATATTTTCTGGCCAAATATATGTCATTGCTCGTGTCCAACTTGTCACATTGGTTTGAGGTTTCCAACAAATGAATCCTAAAGTAATTGAAATATTCATCTTGATTCGTGAACTGAACCATTGTGAGAATCGTACCTACCCTGAACGTCTGTCCATGAATTTCAGCTCTATCGGTTTCTGGGGTGAAATGTTACAAGGAGTGAAATTTATCTGCAGGTCAAAGTCTTTGGAGCTGTTTAAAATGTTTGATAAGAGCCATAACCACACTTTCAAAGTTCACCCTAGCCATATCAGTGATTGGATCTGTATGTTTAAGAGTTTAAAAGACACGTCTTAAGAGAACGGCAGGGTTTAAAAATGTGTCTTTACTGAAATACTTATTTTTCTTTCATTTTTTAAAAGTAGTTTCTTAATTATTTCAAGCTGTATTTATAAAACGTAACTTTTCTCATTCAGCCATTGCTAAAAAAAATTATTAATGACCGCTAACCTAGTTATAAAGGTTATACCTTGTCCTCAGCACGTTGTGGTAGAACCAAAGGTTATACTGGTAGGAACCTGGTTACACTAGCCCAGGGGTCGGCAACCTACGGCTCCGGAGCCGCATGCGGCTCTTTACGGGCTGCTTTTTGACGATATGTACGTGAGTACAGTATGTACTCAGATGCATTGCGGCTCTTGAAATACTGAATTGTGTACCGAATTGGAAAGAAATGGCTCTTCTTGTTATTTTGGTTGCCGACCCCTGCACTAGCCCATAGGGGATTATTGTGTCCGTCCATCGTGCAGGGAGGGGCTGGGTGGGGGGGGGGAGGGGCTGGTCACCCCGTGGTGCCCTTATAAAACTCAACGTTTAACCTACTCACGCCGACTTGTGCCCGCCCTCAGTTGGCCATATTTGTGGAATACACCACGCCGCTGTTGACTCTGGCCATTGACCGAGCAACCCAACGTTCCTACCAGCTCCCTCCGCAGGAATGTGTTTTGGTTTAACACATTGGCTTTCGCGACCAATAGTAAAGGTTTTTAGGCTAGATTGCGTACTTAAGGTTTCTTGGCAAAAAGAGTGAAGCCCTTGTGACATTTTGTTCTTGCTTGCGGTTGTGGTGCGTTATTAACTGCGCTTTGATTTTCTGTGTGCTCTCGTGTTAAAACATTGCAACATGGGTGAGTAAATTTGTTTGGTGCGATCCATCAACTCACTTTGCAAGGACATGAAGAGGAAGGCACAAAGGGCACGGTCTGCAACCCACCAGTCAAATGAAGGTCATATCAACATGTACCCGAGCAATGCAATGTGGAACCAGTGGCCGACGTTTTCTATGATCACGAAGTGAACACCTCATGTTGGGGTAACGTTGCAAATGGAAACGTAGGGATTAATGGTGCATTTGTGCCCATCTTGACACGTGCACCGTCAAACACATGAACATTAAAACGTATGCAATGGCAGACCAAAAAAACAACACGTGTACATGGTACACAATTGCGCATATGCATACCTCACAAAACGATGCACACCAGGTACCACTATAGATGTCGCTGTTACGGCAAGTGCCGTTTGTAACATTCAAACCGAGAACTGCTTTGCCTGTCTTTCCCGTGCCGATATTGAAATGCCCGCACGAGATACTCGTTTAAAGCCAAGTCAAGCTTAGGAAGGCCAGGCCAGGTTGAGATACGAATTGCCACTGACGTTATCTGCGGAATTAAACTCTGGTCAGCTGGGTTGTGGTTCAGTAAATCTCGAGGCCACCGCCACGCCCCAAAACGTAAAGATCCCAACCAGCCGATGTAGATTGTTAGCAGGTACGACACGCACGGTGGGTCCACACACCACATTGACACCTCTCCCCAGTGATGTTTGCACACAAAGCCATTCACCCATTTCAGGCTGAACCACCACTCCCCGCAACACGTGATCACCTTCCCAAGGCGCAAGCTGAAACGCATATAAACTCAAATGGCCAAACACATTTCGCTATGCTGCAGTGGGCATGAAAGATCCCATGACATCATTGTGTAAAACATAAGGTTGCCATGGGTGGGGCTTAGAGGTAATTGAGCTCGGGTAAAAAAAGCGTACTCCATTACGTGCAGCAGGCAGCATATCTTTCGTACCGCAAACAGGCGAACGAGTGAACATACGTAATTTACAAGATGTCCATCCATGACGTACCTCCTAAACGGTACGCCGTAGGAAAAAATAAAATATGGTTACTGAAGGCATTTCCAGATACTGTACTGGCTTTCCCACAAAACCCAGAACGTCTACTCTTTGGTTATTTCGGTAAAGCCAAGTAAAAATAAAGAATTGCTTGTGTTGCGATCGAAACGTCGTGATGTTTGATTTCTACATACGTGACTTTACCGAAAGAACCAGAGTATGGATCCCTGCAGTCACGAAAGCTTAAACCAATAATTTCTAGTCAATCTTTGCACATTGATCAAACCGGATGTGATGTGCTTCAGTGTAGGCCAGGAAGTGTCACTGGCAAAACATACAGCACCTTCAATTTCAGTGCAACTTCAGACTTAATGCCGCTTGAAGAATGGTAGCTTGATTTCTCATTACCAGTTGGACCTCAATGTAATTTGTTATGCGTTAAATTCCAATCCGTGTGGCCTCTGCTCCAATGATCACACCAGCGTCATTCAAGAAAATTGGATTGCACTTGCCTGAACCGGTTTTCACATGCCCAGGTCAACTCTTGAACACAGGACAAGATTAATGATCAGAGTACCACACGTCCAGTTGTCGACCCATCTCATGAATCACTTCAAAGCGCACACCTCGTCATTAATAAAGACACATTGCAAGGGGTTCAAACAAAATCCCTATAACGTGCATTTATATTCTGCGCCAATTCACGAGCAATGCCAGCAATGTTTACATAGCAATCCCTAACTGCAAAAACTTGACAATACCCTCCTGAAAGTCTTTATACTCGTGAATCTTTCAACGCGAAACCAGCACAACGGGGTACACAGCCCTAGAAAACCTAAAATGTCTTGCTTCTGCCACTGGTGGCCAAAATGCCTCCATTAGAGAGAGCTCTAAAAAGGCCTTCGAAGGGTCTTGCTTGGCCTGCTCTTCCAAGGTAACTACACCTGGTGGAAGAGATAGTAATACTAACTCTTGACCTCTGGCAATCAACTGTTCTGTTCTCATTATACAGTAGAACCTCGGAGATCGAACGCACCAGAACTCGAACAAATCGGTGCTCGAACGATATTTCCGAACATTTTTTGCCCCGGAAACCGGACGAAATTCGGAGGTCCAACGGGCAATCGCGACTCGAAACCTGTACGGAAGAGACGCGTATGGGCAGCGTGCATGACGCTTGCCCAAAGCTTTTACCGTGAGAGGCTCAGTTAACGCGTAGCTCTCACCCAGTGCAGTTACCCGCAAAACATCGTTCCTTAACTTTTTCGTTAATTTCCTTTATTTTAGTGATAAAAGAAATGTGCAAAATGTTGAGTTACAGCATTTTTTAGAAAAATATCACCCAAATAAGGCCGTAGCCAACCAAGTGAGCAATCTTTTTCATGATAAAGCAATGTCATTTTCAAAACACCCTAAAACAGAGGCAGAAACAAACCTCTTTAGGCAAGTTTTTAGTCAGAAAGAGCTCAAGTGACTCAGTTAGTGGCAGAAAAGAGGCACAGAAGGGCAGTTACCCGACATTATTATGGAAGGGGACTTCTTCCAAACAATAACACCACCACCTTCCACTCAAGCCATCAATTTTATTTTTCATTTATTCCATATATTTATTCATTTATTCCATGTTTCTTGTTTTTTTTGTATGATTTTATGCATGTAATTACTGTAAACTTCGTGTAAAAATGCTTTGAGATTTCTTGTGTCTGGAACCAATTCATGACATTAACATTAATTCTTATGGAGAAAACTAATTCGGTGTTCGAATGGCCTTCTGGAACGAATTAAGTTCGATCTCCAGGGTACCACTACTGCTCGGTGCTCAGTTCAGCTGTCAGCGGCCTCTGGATTTCAAGTTCAGTGGGGATAACCTATTACACCATGGCATCCAAGTACAACAAAACTCGCATTCAACATCAAAACCAGGAGACAATGAGTGTGGGGTTTTCATAGTTTATTGACTGACAAGAAGATACAAGGTTGATGATGCGAGTTGACCTCCCCAGCAGGGAAGGCTCACTTCTTGGAGCTCTCCTCCTCCTTGGACAGAGTCTTCAGGATCTCCTCCTTCTTGGCCAGGAGGCGCTCCTCACGGCGCTTGCGTGCTTCCTTTGTCTTGGAGCGACGAGCCTCTGCCTGGTCACTGCAGAGCAAAGCAATCAGGACGAACGTGGGTTAGGTTTACAGCGAGTGAAAATATTCACATGTTAATCCATGATTGTGAGAACACACCGTATATCAAAGCCAGGAAAGTGCAACACTTCTAAATTCTCGGGTTAGCACGGCCACTTACGCGAGGAGCTTCTTGCGGGCCTTGTCAGCCTTCATCTTGTGGATGTGCTCCATCAGAATGCGCTTGTTCTTGAACACGTTACCTTTCACTTTCAGGTACAGATTGTGGTACCTAAAAATTACATTCATAAAAACAGTCAAGCCATGAACCACATACATTCACATAACAAAAATAATTCAATGTGTTGTAATGTATATTTGGCTGTTCTTAGGTGGTCCTGCTTTTTCTGCGAGTGGCACTCACATGTGGCGATCGATCTTCTTGGCCTCACGGTACTTGCGCAGGAGACGGCGCAGAATCCGCATGCGCCGCATCCACACCAGCTTCTCTGGCATACGGGCGTTGGCTGTACCCTTGCGCTTACCTGCAAGGACAGCAGAAAGAAACATTAGAAAGGCGTGGGTATGATGCTTAATCTGAATTCAGCAAATTAAAATCCAACTAGTTCGTTACAACTTTGTACTTTTACACTCTAAAAGCTACACCAATCAATATTGCATTGTTCAGGGCTAGCACAGGATTCATGCAACCATAAAATAAAGAAAACATGGGGCATCCTGGGACACCCACATTACCTCAGGTCTTGCATTATTTCCCACCTAGAATCGGTGTTCACACACTCAAGAGCACCCCCATAAGCACACAGATTTCAAGCAACTCCTGCCAACTATTAAAATTATATCACATGGTAGGCAGCTTTTTCAAGAGGACAACATTGAGCATGGCTCTTTTACAAGCATACACTAAGGGTGTGAGAGAATGTAGAGCACTAAGAAGAGAGACGGAGTGCCCAGGCACAGGGTGAGCGGGGCACCAGGGTGACCGCTTACCGTAGCCCATGTGCCGACCCTTGCGCCGCGCCTCCAGGTTCTTGCGGCAGCGTGCACGCGAGTGCACCGCCACCGGTTTGCGGATGATCAAGCCATCCTTAATCAACTTGCGGATCTGCTGCCCTGAAGACAAAAAGAGAACGAGGTTAGAACACGCAAGTGGGGTGGGCGAGAGTTAACGATGATAAATGTAGTTTTACCCCCCCTTCTCATATGGAATTTACCAGAGGCTAGTTTACCCACGTTTTACCACTATAAAAGACTTATTCAAAGTCAATGTCTAACATATTCTTAGGTTTTTTCGGTAAAGTCACGTAGGTAAACAAATTAAAATTAATAAAAGTAAAATAAAAATCACGTTTCGGAGGCAACAAGTCTCCGTCATCAGGTGGGACCGTCACAGCTAGATTTGCTGTATCAAGTGAGCCAAGTATCAGTTTCCACAATGTTAAGACGCCGTGGTTTTTGTGGCGATCCTTACTTGAGTTTGCGTTTGCGATCTCGTTTGTTTCGTTGGGGTCCAGCCAGACCTTCTTCTTTCCACAGCGCAGCACGCTGGCTGACAGCCGCTTCTGAAGCCGTAGCATACTGTTGAGCGACAGTCAAGTTACATGTTAGTTCATGACGAGGACCATCTCAACTTTAAACGTTATTGAAGCACGTATAGAGTATATTTTAGTTGATGACGAGCACCATCTCAACTTTAAACGTTATTGAGGCACGTATAGAGTATATTTTAGTTGATGACGAGCACCATTCTCAACTTTAAACGTTATTGAAGCACGTATAGAGTATATTTTAGTTGATGACGAGCACCATCTCAACTTTAAACGTTATTGAGGCACGTATAGAGTATATTTTAGTTGATGACGAGCACCATCTCAACTTTAAACGTTATTGAGGCACGTATAGAGTATATTTTAGTTGATGACGAGCACCATCTCAACTTTAAACGTTATTGAAGCACGTATAGAGTATATTTTAGTTCATGACGAGCACCATCTCAACTTTAAACGTTATTGAAGCACGTATAGAGTATATTTTAGTTTATGACGAGCACCATCTCAACTTTAAACGTTGAGGCACGTATAGAGTATATTTTAGTTGATGACGAGCACCATCTCAACTTTAAACGTTATTGAAGCACGTATAGAGTATATTTTTCAGTTGATGACGAGCACCATCTCAACTTTAAACGTTATTGAAGCACGTATAGAGTATATTTTAGTTCATGACGAGCACCATCTCAACTTTAAACGTTATTGAGACACGTATAGAGTATATTTTAGTTGATGACGAGCACCATCTCAACTTTAAACGTTATTGAAGCACGTATAGAGAAGTGTTTGCTCCCACTGTGGACAGTTCTCCAATGAGGGACGGGCGAAACCAGAGATTCATTTCAGTCAGTCAGCAAATCCTAGTCACGTGCTTATTCCAGTCTACCAGCGAGCCGGAATGATTCACTCACATTTTACACCTTGCGTGAAACAAAATATGAAAGAGCTACAAAACACGAGGGATATAACACGTGGAATTTTGAATACACCGGCACATATCACATGGACTGCAATTAAAAGGCGTATTATTAGAACCCGTCCTATAGACGTGTGTTATACATAATTCGGGCTTCAACAAAGTCAACTCGCAGATCTCTTGCGAAAGTATCAACGCGCTCTCCATCGGTCTTTATATAAATTATATTTAATATGCATCGACTGCAAACGATTATAGCACGGAGTAGCAGCGTATACAAATGTACGTATACAGCCTTCAGTCAAGCCACTACTGAGGGCTTCCACATGCCGCGAGTTATTTAACCAAACTTGTGCAGTTCTGCATTACAGCTATGTAGACCAACTTGGTTCGGGTGGTGCCCCACAACTTAGATATAACTGGACAAACGCGCATAAGACACGTGGTTAAAAATATGCTTGTACTGTATAGCGCGCATAGGCCATACAACACACAACTGCCTACGTTGAGCAGGCGAGAGCCTACGGCCTAGAACGGCGTGTTGTACAACACGTGTGTTCACACATCAGCGACGTTTAAGTCGTGTCATCCAACACTGTTGGGACGTGCTGCTCAGGTACAGGAGTTGCGTACATCAGATTTTGAGGTCGTAACCCACGTAGTGTCCACCACATGAGTTGCGCACATCAGATTTAGAGGCACAGAATGCAACGCAGAGGTGGGCCAACGCAGCTCACGTACACCATTTCTAAAACTACATCATGGGCGAGCTGTAACAAAGCACGCAGCAACATCGCCGTCCTTGTACGCGCGTGTTTAACACACTCCTTCGCCTCAATGCAACAAACGTAATCCACTCCCGTTATCGATCGCGTCGATAACTGTTGCTGGCCCCCGCCTGGTATTTCGCGTGATCGATTGGGCGGCAATTGCGATACTTCTTTAAACCTCACTCGCTGTGTAACGTTTATAACAAACAACAACAACGCACTCATAGCCGTGCCATCAAGCGCGCACGGAACGCCGAAAGCGCGGGGCGAGGCGGCGGCGGCCACGCGGCCACTCGGCCCCAAAGCCTCGGCCTAAGGCCCAAGCCCGGCCCGCGCATCGCTCAGGGCTAACATCCCGTGCCGCGGCGGGGGACGACCGAGCAAAGGTCGACGCAGCGAGACCCCGTGGCTAAGCATAGCGCAAGCCCCTGGCCGTGAGGGGACGAGGGACGGCCGAAGATGGCACGCGAAGCCTCCTCGGGAGCGAGGAGAGCCTCTCACCTCATGGCGTCTTCTCGGGGTCCCACCAGCAAGGACCTTTGCGCATGCGCGGCGGCGATACCACCCCGCCCTCACAGGCGGGGGGGGGGGGGGTGAACAATGACGTTGAGACGCTTATTTTAATCTTTCGCTATTTTGAATTGAATTAAAGGGTGATTCTAGATTTGAAGCTTTCGTGACTGCAAGGATTCATACTGTTAGGTTTTTTTGGTAAAGTCACGTAGGTAAAAATAAATAATAATCAAAATAATAGAAATAAAAATTTATTGATGATATATTATTTTATTTCTATTATTTTTAATTTCTATTATTATTTACTTTTACCTACGTGACTTTACCGAAAAAAACCTAAGAGTATGAATTAAAGGAGAAGGCGTTAGGGGGTAAATGCAACGAATCGCACGCACTGCACGCGTTGTGATTACGTGGAGACGACGCGTAAGGCGACTTGTGTTTGCGTTCTACTGATGGTACGGTCCATTGCCCATCCCCGGTGGGGGTGGATGGTGGGGGTGGATGGTGGGGGGATGGTGGGGGGTGGGTGGGGGATGGTGGATGGGGGATGGTGGGGGGGATGGTGGGGGGATGGGGATGGGGGAGACTTGCGATCCTTAGGTTTCCAGGGTACACGTGGCTCGCCGCCGCTAGGGGGCGCGCCCGCACAGCTGCCTCGCTGTCAATTGTCGTGTTTGGAGGTTGCCTTCTTAATTGTTTCTAGATTTGAAGCTTTCGTGACCGCAATGATTCATACTCTTAGGTTTTTTCGGTAAAGTCACGTAGGTAAATAAATAAATAAATAATTAACTGATAAAAATATATAATAGAAATAAAATAAAAAATCACGACGTTTCGGAGGCAACACAAGTCTCCGCCATCAGGTGGGACCGTCACAGCTAGATTTACTGTCTCAGTATTTTTCCTCACTTGATACAGTAAATTTAGTTGTGACGGTCCCACCTGATGACAGAGACTTGTGAGTTCTTATTTTTGTTGTATTTTTTTTGTATTATAATTAACGTTAAGTTTTCATGTTGAAATTTGAGACACGCTCGGGGTTTCGTTTCCCCGTTGGATTCAGAGGCGTTGAGACACTGCAGAAGGCAGCCCACCCAGTAAACGTTGGGCCAACGCGTGCTTTTCACGTATTTCAGGTGCATTGTGACATTGTCCCTGTCAACCCCTTATCAGTGTCTACCTTCTTCATATCTGTCAATCCCTTACCAGTGTCTACCTTATTACAGACCAATTCAGACCTTATTTGGTCACCCCGTGGTGCCCTTATAAATGTTCATCCTACAAAGTCCCATCACAAGGGAGAAACACAAACAAATAGACAAAAAATTATGTCACGAAACAAACACTGTTTTATGTATTAATTTTGATAACTCGTGTCCATGATGCTGTCTGTGATCTTGCATGCTGATGCTGCTCACTTAATATGTGGATGCACACACTCATGTTGTAAATGTACAACAATAAACAGAAAAAAAGTGTCCCACGACTTTTTTTTTAATTTGGCCGTATGATTTTTTTTTTGCCCGTATTGAAACAGCTGTACACAGTATGGATCTGAAAACTCAATTTCCCTGCACAAGAATATGGCTAAACGGTTATAGGTTGACAGGTATGCTGTACGTGGTACAGTTGTGAGTAACTTTTAGAGGCCTGTCCATATTTTGTTCTATTGTATTGTAATTTTTTTCGACTTTTGTAACTGTAAAGCATTTGATTATTTTTTTTTTTACAAAATGAATAGAAAGCCTGCAAAATGTGAAAATGCACCAATTTAAATAATGACGAGTTACGGTTAGCGCGGTTGGCTGCGTCGGCTGCAAGATAATTCAACATTTAAGATTTCCAGCACTTGCACGTACGCTGATGGATGGCATTGCTTCATTTCCACGGCGGATGACCTCAGCCATGTCGCCTCCAATTACTGGCAATCCGTCTCTCCGTAATAAATACGCCAACGTTGGCTCAACGTTCGGTGCGAAAGACGTTCAACATACGCAGATAAACTCAAACATAACATTCCAAATGTTCACTACTACACATTAACATTCCTATTGTATTTAAAAAAAATCAATTTACGTTGAATGTATTCATTGAAAATGTGCTAACAAATAATCTTGGCAGTCTAAAATTAAACCAACAAGTGGCAGCAGCGAGTAAAATAATGGACATGCTGCAAGATGCTATTTTTAGTGCTGCCTGCGGTGGTGAGAGGCTGTGTGGGGAGGGGTGGTGAAGGGCAGCGCTGTGGCCTACAGAACATCGGTTAAATAAGTAATATTTAAAAATATATATTTTAAAACACGCTTTAATGAAATGTACCGTACTCGTAATGGCAGAACTCCACGACTCCAGGAAGTGGCCCCGAGGCTTGCCATGACGTAAGGGGGTCGTGGTGATTCACAGCCAACGTCAGTTGACCGTGGACAATTAGAGCCAAGCCGAAACATCAAATACACAAATGAATGTTTAAAAATACTTTTTATTTGATTTTTTATGATAGAATATGGTATTGTCATCAGCATGACATAAGTATACCAAGTTTGCAGTCGATACCACATTGGGAAGTGGGTTAAAATTGAGTTCCAAGATTTGAGGATACGACAACAACAGAGCGAGTTGAATAAAAGCGTGTAACAACAACAAAAAGAGCTGTTATAGCTCTTTGGATTCCTCTAGTGTACATACAAATTCTGTTCTCTTTGGTTCTTTCGGTAAAGTCACGCTTGTGTTGCGACCGAAACGTCGTGATTTATTTTATTTTTCTACCTACGTGACTTTACCGAAAGAACCAAGGAGTATGGATTCCTGCAGTCACGAAAGCTTCAAATCAAGATACAAATTCTGAATACGTACGTGGTGCAGGGGCTGTGGGGCAGGCAATACATACTTACAGTGGTGGGCCAATGTTATGCCGATTATGATGGTTGCAACCACATGCTTGCGACACCACGCGGGCGAGATGTTAACTACCTCGCCTGGTATGCAGAAGGTCGTGGGTTCGATCCCAACCTCCGACGCCTGCTGCTGTATATTTGGAGTTTGCGTGTTCTCCTCGTGGTCTCGTGGATTTTTCTCCAGATCCTCCGGGTTTTCCCTCCCCAGTTAGAAACATACGTTTAGAGTATTTGGCTGCGATACGTTTCCACATGATAAGCCACTTCGTTGAGCTATCATTTGTAGCCGGGTCGCTTCTGAAAAACAGCTACATGCCTCAGTGGGCCTTACCTGCTTTTATAAACGTAGTTAATAGTTGGTTAGGTCGGCTGAACTGGCACGAACAATTTCCCAAGATCTCTGACCCTACACGTGGATGTCTGGCCAACTACTATTCATGTGGGAGGAAACTGGAATGTTATCGCAATCGTGCAATGCGATGAATAATGCTTTCGGATGGCCGCGGAAGAGATTTATCACAGCGCTCACCCACGTGTCGTAATACCCCGGTTTGTGCCGGCGATGCATTCCTGAAGGGTGCGACAACTAATGAAACGACGTAAATCAATGCAATTTACAGGCTAGGTGGAGGCGCAGGTTGAGGTGACGGATACGAGAAAGGAAGGATGATGGTGTCAGCGACGCAAGTGTGGGTTGAGTCGACGCAAAACAGGAAGTGGTATTAATAAAGTGACGTATTTGCAAAACGACGTAAAATTTGGGAGACGTAAATCTGGGTTTTAATGTAACTCATATCAATGTTGCGATGTTATCTTTGGTACCGTAGGGTGCCCATTTCACTGCACCAATCATAGCTAAATTAGGCGAGTTGAACGATGTGTAAATGGTTTTTGTTGTGTGTGCAGCCATCAATGACCGAGCAGAGTCTATCCACGTGCTACTTGAGAACCTGGTTCTCCAGTGACTCAAGAACCTGGTTCTCCAGTGACTTGGCTGGTGGCTATGATGAGTGGGGAGATATTATGAGTGGCTGTGGCTATGCTGAGTGGGGATATGAGTGGCTGGGTGGCTATGATGAGTGGGGATATTATGAGTGGCTTGTTGGCTATGCTGAGTGGGGATATTATGAGTGGCTGTGGCTATGATGAGTGGGGGATATTTATGAAGGGGCTGGGCTATGCTGAGTGGGGATATATGACGTGGCTTGTTGGCTATGCCTGAGGTGGGTATTATGAGTGGCTGGGTGGCTATGCTGAGGGGGTATATTATGATTGGATTGATTGGCTATGCTGAGTGGGATATTATGAGTGGCTTGTGGGGCTATGCTGAGTGGGGATATTGAGTGGCATGGTGGCTATGCGAGGGGGATATATGAAGTGGCTGGGTGGCCTATGCTGAGTGGGGGATATTTATCGAGTGGCTGATGGTGCCTATTGCTGGGGTATTGGGATATTATGAGGTGGCTGGTGGCTATGATGAGTCGGGGATGATTATGAGTGGCTGGGGGCTATGCTGAGTGGGGATATATGAGTGGTTGGGTGGCTATGATGAGGGGGGATATTATAAGTGGCTTGGGTGCTATGATGAGTGGGGATATTATGAGTGGTGTGGTGATGATGGGATATTATGAGTGGCTGGGTGGCTGTGATGAGTGGGGATATTATGAGTGGCTGGGTGGCTATGCTGAGTGGGGATATTATGAGTGGCTGGGTGGCTATGCTGAGTGGGGATATTATGAGTGGCTTGTTGGCTGTGATGAATGGGGATATTATGAGTGGCTGGGTGGCTATGATGAGTGGGGATATTATGAGTGGCTGGGTGGCTATGCTGAGTGGGGATATTATGAGTGGTTGGGTGGCTATGCTGAGTGGGGATATTATGAGTGGCTGGGTGGCTATGCTGAGTGGGGATATTATGAATGGCTGGGTGGCTATGATGAGTGGGGATATGAGTGGCTGGGTGGCTATGCTGAGTGGGGATATTATGAGTGGCTGGTGGCTATGCTGAGTGGGGATATTATGAGTGGCTGATTGGCTATGCTGAGTGGGGATATTATGAGTGGCTGGGTGGCTATGATGAGTGGGGATATTATGAGTGGCTGGGTGGCTATGCTGAGTGGGGATATTATGAGTGGCTTGTTGGCTATGCTGAGTGGGGATATTATGAGTGGCTTGTTGGCTATGCTGAGTGGGGATATTATGTGTGGCTGGGTGGCTATGCTGAGTGGGGATGTTATGCGTGGCTGGGTGGCTATGCTGAGTGGGGATATTATGAGTGGCTGGTGGGCTATGCTGAGTGGGGATATTATGAGTGGCTGAGTGGCTATGCTGAGTGGGGATATTATGAGTGGCTGGGTGGCTATGATGAGTGGGGATATTATGAGTGGCTGGGTGGCTATGCTGAGTGGGGATATTATGAGTTGCTGATTGGCTGTGATGAATGGGGATATTATGAATGGTTGGTGGCTATGATGAGTGGGGATATTATGAGTGGCTGGTGGCTAGCTGTTACCTGTAGTTTACAGTGAGGCTAGGAATAGGTTTGCTAATGTGCTTGGCTCCCAAACGACTTCCCCACCTCGCCATTGCAATACATGTATAGATATACCATTAAAACGATGGGAAGAAATTCACGTATTACATAACTTAATGCTTTTCTCTGTAATACTGTATATAGATCCATCTCTTTCACAACATTCAAACACGAGTTCAGACGAACGTCATTCTAAATGGATCACCCAGTGCGTGGAATTTCAATGTGTGGCCACTTTTAATTTAATGGTGTTGACTGCCACGAAAGTGAGGGTGGCGGTCTAATGTCAGGCAATGCCCTGGCTACCTGTGTGGCACCTTCCTGCCAGTCCAGGCTGCTGAGTGCACTGTCGCACTGGTACGTGTGTGTGTCTAATGTGTGTGGTGTGTGTGGGTGTGTTTATGGGTGTGTGTGTACGTGTGTGGTGTGTGTGGGGAACGAGAGCGTCGTGGTTAGCGCACTGCACTACAAACCCGGCGGCCCGGGTTCCATTCCCGCTCACGGCCAAAACCAGTGACGATTATCTGAACCGGTCTTGGGCCTCCCCTAGGTCGACTCAGCCTCAAATGAGTACCTGGGTGCGGTGTGTAAACACCACCAATGGGGAGACAAAGGCGGCCGGGCGTGGTGCTGGCCACCCACCCCCTCGTGTGCCGTTCCGGCCTTCGTAGGTGCTCGCTAACAGCACTTGCCCCTACAGTCTGTTAAGGCTATACGGGGGATCTTTGTCTTGTCTATGTGTGTGGCCTGCTTATGTCGCCTGCAATTTAATTGCTTTCAATCAACATCAGCAAGTGACGACACGTGGTTCATCGACAAAGGGAAGCTGCGCATTGGAGAGCGATTAGTTCAAGTTGTGGCCAGTTGTTTTATCCAGGCGTGCTGAAGTGCTTCCGCACAAAGATAATCTCAGTGTTCAAGCTCATTTTGATTAACCACGCGAGACCTGTATCACGGACATGACAACATGAAGCCAAGTACAACAAAGGAGCAAAAAGACACCAGAGCACATCAGAAGTGCATCTCCAGCTCACTCCCACCAGGCTCACTGTTCATGAACTCTTGGAAGTGCTTGCACAAAGGATAGTAACATCTCATCCTGTGTTCTTTGGAATAAAAAAAACACCCACATTGTGCTCGACTGAAGGGGCCTCGTGTTGCGTCATGCATCACACGCTTCGATTCAGGCGCATTAATTCGAGTGCCGCTGCCTTCTTGGCGCACAGAAACACTGCGCACACTAATAGCCAATCAGTCAAAGATTCATGTATGACTACCAATGTTGTTTTTCCTAATAAAGTTCAACGAGTTTCAAAAATTTTTTTTTTGGGGGGGGTGTATTGGGCAATTACTTGTTTGGCAGAGGCAATGGATGCTTACTAAATGGAAACGTAAAAACATATTTTATATCACAAACATAAGAAACATAATGGTGGGAGGCTATTTGGTCAAGCGTTTGGAGTAGGCGTAAATCACAAAATAGATGGCAAGGCGCAGTGAACGTTGATGTTGTAATTCAAACAAAATCTCAATATTAATTTATCTGTTCATTGGCAGTCATCTTCAAACATGAACAAAATAGCCATTGGGGGTCGTCTATAAATGACGTCACGCGATTTTTGACGACTTTTGACCCCCCCCCCCCCGTCGTCACACCACGGCGTCACAAAAAGTCAGCCCCCCCCTCATATATGACGTCACAAAGCTCTGCCACCCCCCCCCTAAAAAAAAAACATGCTTCAAATCGCTTTAAACTATTGTCATTGTAGTGCGTATTTAATGTGGCGCTGCACTCTGATGTTGTAGGAGAAAACATTTATTAAAAAGTCTATTTAATTAAGTAGAACGTGTCGTCTATATTTATTTAAAGTTGCGCATTTTGATGTGAAGTCACATTTCTCACCCCCCCCCCTCGTCACACATCGTCACAAATGTCTGACCCCCCCCCCCCCAGGTGCGTGACGTCATTTATGGACGGCCCCTTTGTACTAAACGTTATTCACTAATTCTTTGTGACCAGGTCACTTCTGAAAAAGAGCTCTATAGGTCAGTGGGACTTACCTTGTAAGCAAACACAACATTTTTACAGTTGTATTATTTCCTAAGCATAAATGCCTTAAACTCGATATGTATATAAATATGTATATATGACGACGGTGGTGATTCGTGTTGGTGTTGTGTGTGTTTGTGACATCGTCCACTCACACCGCACAATCCCAGCAGGGGGCATGCTGACTCCTGGATGATATTACTTGTACTGGTGCAAAACGGAACTTTTATTGAGGAGGTATCATACCACGTTCACGGGGCAATAAATTACACAGCGCACCTATCACTTTAAACAGATAAATAATTGACACGTCCATATACAACGTAAACAATGCATACGTTTAAATGAATTCAGAGAAATATGGCGTGTGCTCATTATATATGTGTGTGTTCTTCCAAAATGTATTTCTCCCAAAAAAATGCATGTGTGCGGCATATAGAGCAAGAGAGAGAATTCATCAAATCCGCCGACAGTATTTTGTCGTAATAACAACACAGTACTGCATAAACTGCAGTCGTAATCACGCACGCGAGTGAAACTCTCTCACGAGGATGCGACGAGTGGTATAAAAATAGTAATAGCGCCTCATCGGGCCACTTTCCACTTTCTTAATATTCAACACCGCGGCGGCAAAGCTGCTGTTCTAATAATAATAAAAACGTATGTACACAAAGTCTGGCCTCTTCTTTTTTTACACACACACACAGATATATACCGAACTACAACGCAGCAGCAGCAGCTCTCTTCTTCCAGAGTGTGTCAGCCGTCCATCCCGGTGAAGTCAGCGACCGCTGCGTGACTTGTGATGGGCGATGGGCACAGTGCCTCTGTGCGTGCACATTCACCGCCACGAGCCAAATGGGCTCCTGCCCAGCGTCGCTTCTGTCGAAGTGCCCCCATTGACTTTGTGTTAAACAACAAGGCCATGTTAACGGCCCCCAGCAATTCAACCCAAAGCATTCGCTGTCACGCGAGTACGATCCTTAATTAGACCCCCCCCTCACCGCTTTGAACGGACAACTCATTTATAATGTTTCAAGCAAGAAAAGCGTGAAATGCCCCACAAACCCCTCGTTGACGATCAGAATCAACCGTCACGCCGCTCATTGCGAGCAGCAGCATAGCGCGCTGGTCAATTCTCAGACGTGGTCGCACCGTTATTTGCAATTCATAGACACACACACAAAAAAAGACCCACATTGTAATCCGGTAATTATTTTTAGCGACTTTGAGTACCCCCAGCTTGTATTCTACGTTGATACGTCGCGGTGTAACCTTGGATGAGAATGTTCCAGTGACTATTTGATGTTCTACTTGTAACCGTTACGGTGATTTCTGGCTGTCAAACCGCTGTAAGGTGATGATACATTTGATTCAACGTAGGTGTTGAGCTCTCCATTGTGTTCTTGCTGGCAGTTTCTTCAGAAACTGAATTTAGAGCGACATTTTGTACGAAACTTTGTGGCCGCACAACATTCGGTACAACCAAAAAAAAACCACATCGGAGAGGCATACAGCACAAGCACAACAAAACAAAAACCTACCCCACTAGTACACGTGTAGCTGCCACATCATGTTTATAAAAAAATGTTACACACCTGCCATTAATGGCAGTCGTTTGAATAGAGAGGCGCCACCTCGCACACCGACACCAAACCTGTGCTGACAACCGACTCACACGGGATAAATCGGCACCACCATGAGTGTGTTATAAAACAAATACAAATTAAATATCCTGACGTTAAGCAATGACCATTGGCTTAGATTGTAAGTGTTCCCAACGTTTCTAGACATTTTTCACAACACACGATGCACCAACAATGTATATATATATTTTTTAAAATGTTTTAAACTACTTTAAATCGTAGTAGCTGCACGGACTGCTTCCCACGGCCTTGTGACCACTGGTCGTCTGAAAACCACAGGCTGGGAAACCTCTGGGCTAGAAGACACTGGGCTGGGCCAGTGCCTTCAACTGCAACAGGGCTGCAGCTACAGTCCCTGGTTTCTTTGTAATTTTACAGCTGTTTGCAGCTATACCAACAACACAGCGAACACACTACTCCGCACGATTTAACCTACATGCCAAATGTATTATCTTGTTAATATTGCTGCCATGATTTGCTTAAGCGACAGTAAAAAATATGCGTAAAAGTGTAAAACAGTTTCCTCCAGCGAAAGTTACCGGTAACAGAGGACAACTTTAAGATGTAACCCACTTAATCAGTCAATACAATATATGCACTATATGGATTAAGTGATAGAGAGCGGCACACTATGCACTCACTCGATTGTACAACCTGAAGCACACATCCTCAAGCGCACACTTCGACACAGCCACCACGACATCATCGCTCTCATAACGGTGGTGAGGCCGCAGCCGTACCCCGACGCTGTTAACGCGACACCCTGCATACTTAAGTGCGACGCAGCACAGCCAACACAAGCCGCCAAGTGCAACCCCCCCCCCCCCCACTCTCGTTGGACCACTCTGTCTATGGCACTGCAGCAAGTTTGAGTTGAGATTTTTTTTTTTTACAAAAATTAAAACATTTTTTGAGACAAAAAAAAGCTGTCATTGGTTCACATGAATTGGCAAACATGTTTTAAAACCCTATTTTCCTCTCGTCAGTGTGGCGATTGCTAATCTAATTTGACATTTTCAAGGACTGCACAGTTAATAGGGGTCTAAGGAGCTAATTGACCTCTGTAAAAAAAAAAACCTACAGGCCCCCAGACACAGTATTCACGTGTTATACCGCCACGTGTACGTATAGTATATATTTGATTAAATATAAAATTAACGTAGGGTTTTCCCCTGTCTCGGATGAAAAGAGGAATGTTGTTGGTGCCGACAAAGTACACATTAAAGCATTGTTTTTATTTTATCAGAAACTGCCAAAATTGGTAACAGAAGCAACTACCTTGCGTGGGTCCTGCTGGTCTCCCAGGGGCCCACACACGGGAGCTTATTGTGAATGCAGGTACTGTACTGCTGATGGGACAGACTGTCCCTGTGCACAGCTACTCCGAAGCGGCCATAACACAACAGCAGCAGCAGCATCATTCCCCTCCAGCCCACGAACACCACAGAGCTCGCGGCGAGGCATGCTCTCAGTGACGCACGCACGCACGCGCCTGTTTACACCCATCACTTGTTATACATCAAAAACGCAGTGGGGAGAACATTGACTGCATCCAGTAGTGCTGGTCATCGCATTTGTCAGTGCTTCTCCGCCTTGATATTGACCGGGAGCTTAAGTGCGATAGCACCACCCTTAATGTAAAATACCCCTTTCTCCAAGGGTATTAAGCTCTCCTGCGCTGCCAATTATCCTATTTCATTCTACAACGCTCCCCACTACATTACATCAGTTCGTTAATCCAGCTAATGCGCCCGATGTACCTGCCTTGAATGTTAATGACAACTCCTGCATACAATGGCCCGCGTATCCGTCGATGAAGTTCCACAGCCTAGGAGCTTCTCACCACCTGGGTTCGCCACCCGCTGTTGAAGAGCGGGCTTTGTGGCATCGCTGGTGCTTTGTGGATACACTGGCCAATTCGCGGTTTAAACGCAGCACGGATTCAGTCTTTTAGCTGTCTCCGACAGGATGAAATTTTTTTTTTACCCGTTTCCAAGCTTGCATTGACTTACATTAGTATACTTAGAACCAAAAATTGAGACTCTGAAAAACTGAATAGCACTTTTTTTTTTTACCGAAAACTGCACTTTTTCCAGAAATATAATCTCATTCGAACGCAATCTCTTTCCAACAATGTACAGTACAGCATCGAGTATACATGTAAAAGTATATTACATTACCCCTTGCCCTATCTATGCGTCATTAGGGAGCATTGGCTGGAGGGGGCCTCTTCCCGGCTGTCGCAGCAGCAGGCTGGGGCTGGGACGTAATCAGACAGCCGTGGTTTGCTTCACACTGTGAAAGCTTATGCGGCTCGGCGACGTGGGGATGGACATGGCACGCGTGACCCGTGCGCGCAGGCTGTGCTTGTCCTCCCAGCGGTGCCACCTTTTCCGCACCGCTGACCGCACCTAAGGAGAGGATAAGTGGCGAGATGTTAACTACCTCGCCCGGTATACAGGAGTTTCGTGGGTTCGATCCCGACCCTGACGATGCCGACCCTGACGATGCTGTTGTCTATGTTTGCATGTGCCCTCTCCCCGTGGTCGCGTGGATGTTTCTCTGGGTTCGCTAGGTTTTTTTTTTAACCTCCACGTTTATAAAACTACGCGTTTAGAGTATTTGGATGTTTTAAATTCGCACGTGATGATAATCTACTTTGTTGAGCTGTCGTTTGTGGCCAGGTCTCTTATGAAAAAGAGCTATATAGCTCAGTGGGCCTGTCCAGGTAAAATAAAATTTAATTTTACTTAAGTCCATGTTGTGTTTAGTTTGTTGTCCTTATCGCGCACCTCCGAGTAGCACGGTTGGCTACGTACGGTGTGAAAGAAGTTCAACGTACATACATACATGTCACAGTTCCTGCGTAAGGCACATCCTCGAAATTGAAGTTTTCAACCTTTTCATATCTGCGGCTCCCCTGAGAGAGTGGTCTTATTTTTGTGTTTCGGTGCACTTATCAAAGGAGAGACGTAATCTCAAGTGACATTTGTAGACCTTTGTACTACCAGGCCAGCCATGGGGTGGGTGCTATCATGCCGTTTTGTCAGATTTCCATTATTTTAAAGCCGCCCACCAAATACACACTCAGCGTGCGTTCACGTGCCGTAAAGAGCAGTTGTCAATCATCAATTTAGGCGAGTTGCTGCCAGTGTTGCTGGAGCAGCAGCAACATTATCTTAAGGGGAGATCCAACTCAAATTTCAACGGCTCTTAATAAAAGTGTACAGCCCTTTGTTTATCCACTCCGGGAAGAAGGCCTCCCGTTGGCATGTCAGTCGTGGAGGTTGACTATACTTCACCACGATGGTCACTGAGGGTTGGTACTGTGTCGTGGGCTGTTTGACATAAATGTGACACAGAGGCGTGGTTTCTCTGTGTGCCTATGTACGTCTCTCTCTCTCTCTATGTATCTCTGTGATATCTGTCTCTACTTATATGTCTGTCTATATGTCTCTGGTTCTGTGTTGTATCTCTCTCTCAAATTTATCATTCTCAGGAAGAACATAATCAACCAGGTAGGGTGTTTGACTGTTATGTTATCCGACTCTCTATTGTATTACATTACATTTCTAAGTATACTATATTTGTGTTTCTATTTCATTTATACCTGATGATGATTGCTTGTGTTGCAATCGAAACGTCGTATGCTAGTATTTAATGTATTATTTTCTCATTATACGTGACTTTACCGAAAGAACCAAAGAATAAATGTGAACCTTTGTCGTCGAGAACATGAGACATGATAGTCACGGCCAAACACATCACTGCGACACGAGTAACATCACTCGTGTGGGATTTAACTCGTCGTCCATGCATCAATGTCCCTGGAGTGCAATGACTGAACGTCCGAAGCCTGGCTGCTATTGCATTCTCGTTTTTCTTCCCAATGAAGATTTCGACTCATATCAGACAGCCTGGCACAAACACAGCCTCGCAGTGCATTTATAAGACACGAGCCATTTCTCTTTTGGGTTGCAGCTCCCCTGAACATATTGACGAAAGGAATTGCGTGTACATTACAGCACAAGCACTGGGTAATTACCACATCGTAATGGGTATGAAGTTAATTCGTATATTGAATATATGGGTCATCATTACATATATGTAGCCTATTTTAATACCCATTTTTTTTAAACGTAGGTAGTCGGAGTGATGTTTTGGGTAAAGTCGTAATGTTTGGACATTTCACAACCGCTGTGTTTCCTTCCACGTGTTCCTTGAGGTTTCCCGTTCCCGGTGACGTCATAGTTTAAAATGTATTCTGTTGGTGACGTTGCTCCCCACACTCTGGTGGGGGGGGAGGGGGCGGTGATGGTGGTGGGGGGGGGGTAACGGTTCAGGGGGTAACCGGTTACTCCTCACGCTGTTACGCCTTGAAACCGTGGCCAGATGCAGCAAAACCCATCAATTGTCATCTTGGGACTTGAATGAACAGAAAGATATTCAACTGTGGTCATTCAAATACCTTGAAGGTTACAGTGATGCGACATAGTGCGCAGTCCCGAGGCCATGTTTAGTGACAGTACGGTGTAAGTATGTTAGGTCTATCGTGAATGCACTTCAAGTAAATTGAGATGAAAGGCCTTGTTGAAATGCGTGTCCTATCGGCTTATAAACGATGTTCTCACATGCTTACCTCTCCGTTTAGAAAACAGTAAAAGACAGAAACAAAGAAACCCTACAACGAAAGAAGCACAAGTGATAATTAAGGCATCGAATGTCAAATCACAATGGCAATTTTCAGTTCAATATTCATCGACTACGTTTTGCTTTCATCTTCAATTAGTGCCCCTTCCGAGAGTGCAGAACTCATGCCAAGTGCAGGAGCTCAATGGATCCGTCCTGCTTGAACAGCTGCAGAAGCACCATGCCACCAGGTCGCATAAACAGTCGCATTATCCCTTCAGCAACACGATATCATAATAATATTATGATAATAGCCTATATTGTTCCAAGAAAACTATCACTTAGGATCCAGACTATTTTCACAATGGCCCTGCATTGGTCGTTTAGTGGTTTGCGTGTGGAAGGAAACTGGAGACCTGTGCCTTTAAAAATATATAATCTATTAGTCTGTGAGCATAGCACTCAGAATCGATAGACATGTCAGAAATATACTTGCTGTACTGTTATATACTGGCCACTTCATACCACCACAGATATTTATGTGTGTGTGTGTATGCATGTATACACACAGTTGCTGAGTACAAGCCAAAAGGGACCCAAAACGTCAACGTTGCAAATCGCACACCATAAACACGTGTATCTGTGTGGTTAACACCTCGGCTTCTAGGTGTGCTTCACTAACACCACCTCTCAAGCACCTGAATTACAGGTGCGAAGCATTTGTGCAAACCGCTCTCTTTAGCCCGCGGTGGGGAAAAGCCCCTTGGGCAAGAAATGGTGAATGCAGCCTCGAGACGTAATTTATTTACCGCTGATAAATATTGCAACAACGCGTGCGCAGAAGGACAGCCAAACACAACCCCAAAACAAACTTTAATTCACCTGCCACGGCGAATTTGCTGCTGGCATGGGCTGCATTTACCACCCCCCCCCCCCCCCACGTGGGCTTGTGTGCATTGGCCATTACCAGCCGACCCAAGGACCCGAGGCCATTTCGCCCACTTTGTGGCCTTTATAAATAGCCGCACCGTTTACTAAACAGGTTATATCAATATTAGAGCCATTATTTATCCATTGCTAGCGGAGAAAGTAGGTCTGCACAATTATTAATCCGGGCAAGTGGCCAGGACACTTTGTACTTGTAACTAATTTATATTTGGTAGTCGGGAGTTCCATAAAAAAGGCAGAGTTGTTATTGATTTATGAAAAAATAGCATGTGGACGTTTCCTTATAATTTTTCCATTGTCCACAGTAGTCGGTGCATTGCTTGTGCAAAAATAAAACAGCGTGGAACCTTGTGAGTTGTGAAAACCATCCATACTGAAGCAATCTGTTGACCCATTAAGTTCCCCTAATTTGTTTGAAATTTATATCCGTCACTTCATTTGGCACGTTTGGTGTTTTCACGAGGAGAGTAAGCAGCAACACAACTGCCTACTCGTGGCCTCGTTAACCAACTGTTTCTCAATCCACAACGTTAATGCGTTCACTGAGCGTGGTTCAGCTGCTACCGGCATTGAAGTCAAGAAGCTGATTGGGTATGGAAATGTTAATTGACGCAGCAATGTATTTTGAACTGCTGTATAAATATATGTAAAAATTATATTGCCAGAACGTATGTCATCAATCCACTGCTGGATGAAGGCCTCCTCAACCCCCATGTCTGGTCATGGGGGTTAGTTTGAGTGTGGGTCGGTGAAGCGGGAAGCCTAGAATGGGTTCGGATACCACTCGCCACTGATGTTAGCCGTGACTGTGAATCAAATTTATGTCATACGAGGTTCACAGCGCAGTGCCCTAACCACCGCTTCCACCCACCCAGCAAACATGAATATTTAATTCACCCATTTCATCCAAGCTGCTAACGCCACTTTCAGGCAATCTTCTGCAAATAAAGTGCCAGCGTGTCTTCACTAAAAGCCCATTTTATCCGATATTACACACTCAACCAATACCTGGCACCCAACGAGTTAATGAATGCGCCCCGTGCTCACATGCTATACATTCATATTCAGCAATGATGCAAGAATGGTTTAAACCATGACGATCACTTAGAGGTGACACACACACATAAGGCCAAATGTTTTTTTTTACGACATTAGATATGTATTTGCCTTCTGGATATGTCGTTTTAACACTTGATACTCATGTATAATAGTTCACATGAGGTCATGGGGCTTCATTCATGTATTTATGTTGTTACCCTAAGCCAGTGTAACTCATAGAAGGTAAATTATTTCGTAACCAACGGGGAAAACAAGAAACAATTCTCTCTATCATGAATAATGGAATTTATCCAGGAAGGCCCGAGTCCATAAAGATACATCACATGTTTCATTTTATACACTAATTATATTGTGTTCTACGTGGGAGATGTGGGTAACACTTAAAGGTCTCCACAAAGGAGTTCATGAACCCACTTTGCTGTAAAATTACATCTTTGCTCTCGTGTTGCGGGAGATTCACAAAGCTGGGCGATGCATCAGCCCAGTTGATTGTCGACCAAAACTTGAGAGTCTGAAGAGTGGGCTTCGGATCGATGTGTGGGCAACGATTAGCACGGTTGGCTATGTACGGTGCAAAAGAAGTTCCGTTCAAGGTAAGGAGACTTGCACCTCTATCTGAGCAACAGGCCGACCTCCATCAAACACGAGTCGGTGTTACGCGTGAATGCTCCAGCAGTGGTTCATTAACTTTTAAATGTTGTTGCAATGTCCTTGTAACATGTATTGTATTTTAATGTGGAGCAGTGCTTAGGGGGGAATGGTGGCTCAGTGATTAGTACACTGCAACACAAACCTGATTTCCATGCCCTGCTCGGGACGAATAACAGTGGCAAACATTTGAACTGGTACGGGGCCTGCCCTAGGTAGACTCAGCCTCAAACGATTTCCTGGTGCGGTGTGTTAACATCAGCATTGGGGAGGTGAAGGTGGCTGGGAGTGGTGTTGACCACTAAACCCCTCGTGTGCCATGCTGGCCTTCACAGGTGCTTGCCCCAACAGTCTGTTAAAGGCTACGCGGGGGAATATTTGCGTTTGTATTGCTCAATGAGAGGGGGGTGGATCTTTGAATGAGCAGCTGAGAAGATGGAAGGGTTAAAAGGGCATATGAATAAGTGAATGGGGTGGGTGAGTAAGCGGACAAGTCAGTGAGTAGACGAATGGGTGGGTGGATAGAGTGAGAAGGTCGATGAGTGCATGCATCGGCGAGTGATTAAGTGAAAAGCATGATACAGAACGAAGTTGGCAGGTGAGTAAGTGAAATACGTAGAGGGTTAGCAGATTTAACTCAAATGCAGGTGTTTATGTTAATGGTTACGTTTTTTAATGTTAATAGTTAGTTGAGTAAGTGGATGGCGATTGACCAAATGTTGATTGATTAAGACTCTAAATTGTTTATAATGACCAAAATCTGTCAATCGACTGTTAGATGATGGCCATCGTCATGCCGTTTCAGCTACGAGAGGCTATTTGACTATACTTCACCACACTGGTTCGTGCGGGTTGGGGAAGGGTTGCCCCCAGTACTGGTTCACATAATCATAGACACGGTGGCTCGGAGATGTTAACTACCTCGGCTGGTATGCAGGAGGTCGTGGGATCGATCCCTGACGCCTGCTGTATATTTGGAGTCTGCATGTTCTCTCTTCCCGTGGTCGCATGGATCTTACTCAGGGTCCTTCGGGGGTTCCCTCCACAATTAGAAACACGCGTTTAGAGTGTTCGGCTGCTATACATTTCCACGTGATAAGCCACTTCGTTGGGCTATCATGTGTGGCAGGTCGCTCCTGAAAAAGACCTAGACAGCTCAGTGGGCCCTTTCCTGGTAATAAAATTTCAAGTTTAGTTTTTTTGTTTGAATACAGGTTACTGTGCTAACCACAGCATCCACTGAGCCTCTAGTAATAATGGAAGGGTCCCAATTAAATATGAGACAGTCAACAATAACAGATGTCTCCACTCCCATTGATTTGCTTTGAGAGGCAAATTTAAGAATATCTACTGATATTTGTGCATACATTTTCTTTTCCACAGTCATCTATATTAACACCTTATCACGCAATATTAGATGATTAATATGTAATAGAAATGCAGGCTCCACAATAAGGCTAACGTTAAGTCGTCCAATTTTCTTTTGACCACCATTTATACACACCACCACCACCATCCACCATTGCAAGACAACCACAAATAATGTCGTTGTGGTGTCAGAGAGAATTCTTGAGCAAAACCGCCGAATGTTTGTCTCGTGTTACAACTTGCTTTACGCTCAGCGAACGGCACACGCTCGTAACACCTCCGTGATAGCTCTCCGCCGTTGTGCTGCACGGCTTTCCGATGTGTTTTCGGGTCGTGCCACAAGTTTGCTCAGCATGCCGTCTCCTGACGTTTCGCCGCACCACCCCGGGAGCCTTGCTCATTTCCCATTCAGTTCCCGGATTAATCAGTTCACGGAGAAGCTCCCAGCATGCTGAGCGAGCAACCCCATGCCGAACAATATGCGGCGCACTGTGAAAACAAATCGCAGAGCCACGGGGCAATGACAACCGCCCCTTGCAGTAACTGGCAAATAGCATACAAGACAAGAGCATTGGCTCAGCGTATTCCATTTACCTCTCTTAAAAATGTCCCAAATGCCATAATAATCCAGGCGACGACCACATTTGCAATGAACATTTGAAACAATACACTGCTACAATTTTTTTTGTTTCTAGGTAGTAAATGTTATTTCCCAATTGCTTATGCCTCAAAAGTACAGAAAATGGCTATTATTCCCAACAAACTTTGCTTTTGTGATCAGGACAGTGATGTTTTGAAATGTACCTATTTTCCAGAACATTCTAGAACTTTCCAGTAATATAAATAGTAGTATAAATACAGGAGCCTTAAGCCCACCAGTTTGGTTAAGTTCCAGCTGCCTAAGTGGCTACATATCTGCATTTTGATAAGATGGCATCAAGAGGCTGCAAGAATCCAGCAGACGATTTGTTCTACGTCTGCGGCCAATTTATCAAGACAATAGCGAAAAAGCACTCTGTGGAAGCATCTGCTAAGATGTGTGAGGCCTACAAGGCATATTTCGGCATGCCTGTTGGGGATCAAGACAAACCCTGGGCACCTCAATTCAGCTGCGAGCAATGCAGAAAAACTCTGGAAGGTAAGATGGACAATTGTTGCTCGGAATTTTTTGTTATAAAATTTGTAAAATTGTAAACGTTTTTAATTTAAAAATGTTTTACAATTTTTAATTTTATTGAAAAAATATATTATACATGAAAAATGTTGCGAGAATCTCTTACACATTAGTGGGGAATAATAGCCATTTTCTCTACTTTTTAGGCATAAGCAATTACGAAATAACACTTACTACCCAGGAACAAAAATTGTGTTACGTAGTGCTCAATTCTACATTTCCTGTGTTACAAAAGGAGTTATCAGCGGGTTCTGAACGCCGCTTACCATATTCATTCTACTCATACGCATGCCACTTCCAAATGCCGCCCGCAAACAGCTCTCTGTTTGCGCGTAAAGGCGGCGTGGGGAAGCGACGCGCTCACCTGCAGAGACTGCAGGATGGAGTTGAAGTAAATGAAGACGATCAGGGAGGTGTCGTCCTCGCCAGGGTTCACGAAGAAGAGCATGTAGGTGATTCCGAGCAGAGGGAGCAGCACCAGGGTGGCCTTGACGGCTTTCCTGCCGCCCAAGAGAGCAAATCACTCACTGGAAATGTCAAGCGCAAACCTGTCTGCTTTATTTAGAGCACGCGGGGGGAGGACTGTTAGCAAAAATAGTGCAATACGGAATAGGCAATTGCAGGGCCACGAACCTGTACTGGATTGTCTCTGAGGTCGTTGAAGCGCGCAACTTTGTCATGAGAATTCTCACAATGTTGAAAAGAAACGCGAAGTTTATCTGCGAAACGAACAAAATGAACACCGTCAGACGTGCGGATCTACCTTTTTTTTTTAACATCACCCGACACGGAACGTGTGCGATTGTACGGGGAGTTACCCAAAAAGATAACTCACCAGGAGGACAAGGATAACCGGGCCCTGGTAAATGTAATCGATGTGTTTCCCCGCTGTTTTCCCAAGCCAGCACCTGTTGAGGAGAACGCTCGGAATCAGAAAGGCGAGAAGCGTGGTACGGGTCAAAGCTTGGCGTGCCTCCTGCCCCCCCCCCCTCAGCCCCGCGGGTTTCCCCATGGATTTACATCCAAATCAACGGGGCGGTGAAGCACCAGAGGCCATCGCCGCGTGCTTAAAGGACATTGTGGCAGAAGTGGCATTTCATTAAAGGGCAAACGCGAATCTGTTGATGATGTTCTGCCATGGTGAACGTTTGACGCTAAACCACCTCTGAGTGAAACCCACGATCTACCCACAGAATCGGGCATCGACTTCGCAAACTTAAATTGCATCCTTGAAAAAGGTCTCATTATCTCGGAAATCAGATTGATGTGCACACCACTATATTAGTATATAATACAGTAGTATATAGTAGTGTATAGTAGTATATAGTTATATATATAGTAGTATATAATAGTGTATAGTAGTGTATAATAGTGTAGACATTTCATATTTTACACTTGTATCGGCTAACACCCCCAACTTAAGCGTATTCATGCTTACGTGGGGGTACACGGAACCTAACCCCCCCCCCCCCCCACCGTGTACTCTGAGACCTTACCTGTATATATAATCACACGCCTTATTCACATGGCCACAGACATGAGTGACATATGCCACCGTGAATGTGCATGCATGTACATACACCACACACATCACATATGTCCCACGTGGACATTAACATATCATTGGAACTCAAAGGATTTGTTCTTAAAATCTTCAATTACCTAAAACACTTAAAAATTAATGGTTTAATAACACAGACACACACACAGGCATATCGCCATGAGCTTATAGTCGAAGTTGTTTGCTAAGTAAAATATGAACGCCATTCTTCCATTCAGTGGGCCGTATTAAGCTCAACGTTGGCAGCACGGAGCATGGATGTGAAGAAATGCGACCGCCCACCCGCACACAGGCCACAGTGCATACGGGACAGCTTCACGACGCGTGCACTCCTTCAAGCACGATGCCGGGCGAGTGTGTTAACGTCGTAACTTACAGCCAGGGAGAGTAATGGAGCGCTTAAAGAATCGTGTGTGCTGCCGTGGGAATGCGCGTTATGTGCGGCAAGTGCAATCCACTCATTCCCAGCACTCTGTATTCACCGTCTTGTATATGTCATTAAAAATGCAATTAGGTTTGCAGGGCTTCACCAGGAAGGTTCGAAATTATTGCCGCACGCTGCAAGCCGAAGTACGTTCCCTTCATCGTACGCCTGAGCTCAGCAGATTGCAAAAGTTGTGGGTCGCCTTAAACGTATCTCTGCTGAGACAACTGGGAGTGCAGGTGAGACGTCCCGTTTCACGCAGTCTCACTCACTTCTCGTTTTCATAGTACAGCTTGCCCAGAGCCCAGGCAACCGTGATGGGACACGGAACACCTGCAAGAACATACGTTGTGAAGCACGTGCAAGGGCAAGCAAGGTCAAGCAAGCTAATTCCCTCTCCACCCATTTCCCACAAGGTGTTTGCAATCTCACGTCAGGTGTTTTCTGTACCTTACCCTTGAGATGCCCCATCAATGCTACTGGGGCTCTTATAAAGCCGTGCCCCTTGACATCTGCACGAGTAAGACTATACATCATTGACAATGGGGTCATATCGGCTGAGAAATGGCCTATTACGGGCCCGGAAACCACACCGTGGTTCAGGCCTGCATGCTCATTGTCCTTGAGCAATGTGGTTCCATGCGCTCGCTCTCCCACCAATGCATCTCCACCACTTTCCCTCCCGTACCTTGTGTGGTCAGGCCAGGGGGACGGGGGTCAGAAAGCAATCCTTAAAACTGTCTTTAATGAAGTGTATTGTCAGCATAGGTCAGGCTCCACTGTTTTCTTTCGGAATCTAATTGTTACGTATTTTTTGTTTGTTTACGATTGCCATGGCCAGGAAGTTAAACCAGGCGAATGACAGTCAGACGTGTACATCTGACCACCACCTTCACATGGCGACATCACAAGACCACAGGCTCCGATTATTTAGTTCAAGCTCAGTGGTCGAATCTTGACTTTCAACGGAGCGATACTCAATTCATCAGTCTTGGAGAGACACTCGGCCGAGCCATTAACTGGGATGTGTATTTACAGGCTTCTGATTGCCAGTCAAGAACTCTAACCGAGGCATCAATGTAACAGTGCCAACTAATTGAACCAGTGTAATTGTCTAGTCCTCACATTAGCACCACTGTAATGATCATTTCACAATATCCCCCTGAATGTTCCCAGCCACAATGCACACGTTCAATGCATTCACATTATCCTTAGATGAGCAACATTCAGCTAATTATTCCAACGAATACGCGCTTGAGTCATGCTGCACACTCACACGCAGTATATTCCTTTTCGATTTAAAGCTTTCGTGACTGCAGGGATTCATCTTCTTGGTTCTTTCGGTAAAGTCACGTAGAATGGAAATAATAAAATAATAAAAATAATACATAATAAAATAATTCTCACGACGTTTCGGCCACAACGCAAGCAGCCGTCCTCAGGTGGAGAACAGGTCTGTCGAGAAGACAGTCTGAATGACAGAGTCCTTGTGGCCGAAACGTCGTGAGAATTATTTTATTATGTTTTATTTTTATTATTTCATTATTTCCATTCTACGTGACTTTACCGAAAAAACCAAGAAGAAGAGTATATTCCTTCTCCGTTACAAAGGACAGGGCCCAAAGACCCCAAACACACCAAGCAGCCGGCGACCAAAACAGCACTTTCAACATTGCATGAGGTAAGAGTGAAGACGTGTCTTGCATTGAGCAAAGTTGTTGTACGAACCATCTCACAACAACTCCTGGCTCCTCCCCCCTCAACCAGTATATATACAAGGTCGGGTCTTTTGGGATTTCTCTTTACTTGATACAGCAATTGTGCTGTGACGGTTCCACCTGAAAACGGAAGCTTGCGTTGCCTCCGAAACGTCATGATCTATTATTTTATTTCTATTATTACGTCTATTATTTTCTTATTTATTTTTACCTACGTGACTTTACCGAAAAAACCTAAGAGTATGAATCCTCGCAGTCACGAAAGCTTCAAATCTAGAAAGTTGTTATTATTAATCCTACAACTACTACCACGAGAGCTTTGGGGTGGCGGGGGGGTGGAATAAACAAACGGTGTGGAGGAAATGCCACGTGCTGAGCAGCGCGTGAGAAGAAAGAGACGGAGGAGGTAGCGGCGTGTGCGATTGCCACCGGAGGACTCACCCCAGCCCAGGCACAGGAAGACCCACTTGCGCAGCTTGTCCGTGGAGTAGGTCATGACGATGGCCGTGTGCAGGTAGCAGCCCTCGCCGAACATCCAGAAGAAGTTGGTCACGTGGAAGTAGTTGTAGATGGTGCTGACCACGCGGCACCAGGGCTGCCACGCGGTGAGTGTGCAAAGAAAGAAGCTGTACGGTCGTGCGAAACGTCGGGAACTTTGCATGGTACACGCAGCTCACGCGTTGCTCGTTCACTGTGAGCTGATTCTAGATTTGAAGCTTTCGTGACTGCAAGGATCCATACTCTTAGTTTTATCGGTAAAGTCACGTAGGTAAAAAATGAAATTAAAATTAATAAAAATAAAATAATAAAAATCACGACGTTTCGGAGGCAACACAAGTCTCCGTCATCAGGTGGGACCGTCACAGCCAGATTTGCTGTATCACATCAGGTGGGACCGTCACAGCCAGATTTGCTGTATCACTTGATACAGCACCTGATGACGGAGACTTGTGTTGCCTCCGAAACGTCGTGATTTTCATTATTTTATTTTTATTAATTTTTATTTCATTTTTTACCTATGTGACTTTACCGAAAAAACTAAGATCACTGTGAGCTGCTCTGAGATCAGAATCGGAATCTTTTTGTTTTATGCTGGAGAACATCCGATGAGCTACGAAGCTTTTTTTCTCTTCTCGCAGATGTCCGGTAGAGGTGGGTCACAAGGTGAAAACGACGAACAATAAAAAAAATGATCGGAGGGCAAAATATAGGAAAGGTAAGCAAGTCATATTCTTGGTTCTTTTGGTAAAGTCACGTAGAAGGGAAATAATAAGATAATAAAAATAAAACATAATAACATAAAAATTATTTCTCTTCTACGTGACTTTACCGAAAGAACCAAGAATATGAATCCCTGCAGTCACGAAAGTTTTAAATCGAAATGTAAGCAAATCACTACAAATAAATAATTAAACTACAACTCAACGATTATGATTTTACCAGGTGAAGCCCACTTTAGCTATTAGTTCGTTTTCAGAAGCGACGCGGCCACAATTGACAGCTGTGGGAATTCACAGCTACAGCGCGGGTGAAGTAGCAACATCAAATGGCTGGACGTTTCTGTGTATCTCCTGGAAGGGTAGCAGAGTGCTTGAACCCAAACGAGGAGGGGGGCTGGGGGTCACCGCACCTCGTTGGCTTCTTGCGTTCGGAAGTCGATCAGCTGCAGGGTGTAGAACATGGAGTTGCGCAGGATAAAGGTGCTGATCAGGTTCCAGTGGATGATGTTTCTTAGGCATCGGATACTCCTTGAAAAATAAACACACACACAGAGAGACAAAGATCCCCCGTATAGCCTTAACAGACTGTTTGGGGCAAGTGCTGTTAGCGAGCACCTACGAAGGCCGGAACGGCACACGAGGGGGTGGGTGGCCAGCACCACGCCCGGCCGCCTTTGTCTCCCCACACCGCACCCAGGTACTCATTTGAGGCCGAGTCGACCTAGGGGAGGCCCAAGACCGGTTCAGATAATCGTCACTGGTGTTGGCCGTGAGCGGGAATGGAACCTGGGTCGCCGGGTTTGTAGCGCAGTGCGCTAACCACGACGCTACCGTTCCCCAAATACACCACACTTACACACACACCCACACACACCGCACACACCACACACACCACACACGTGTACACACACACACGTGTACACACGCGCCAAGTTGAGTGCTTTTAAAATAAACATCACAGAGCTCGCAAAGTCTGTCGCTAGAACAGGGTCGATGAACCTGTGGCTCTGAAATATGGCTGAGAAACGTGTTTTATGCGCTACATCTAACAATATAGATAAATAACTAAAACATGTTTTATACGCTGCATCTCACAATATAGATACATAACTCAAAACGCGTTTGTTCCCTAATCCGTGCCCTTCTCTTTCTGTTTTCCAGTGTGTCAGTGTGTCACCAGAATGCATTTCTCTATTCTCCTTTGCATACATTTCAGCTCTTGTTAATTTGTCTTTGTCAGTGGGTTTTATGTCTAAGCAGGTATTAAAATATGAATGAAAGCCGTCCAATTTAAGCAGACTGATGTCCTGTTTTTCGTTATCAAATTCAGATTTTCAAAACCACTCCATCCTGTTCTCATTCACCTATTTCGTAATTTTAATCCCATTACACCTTCAACAATTGCCCAAGGCAGAGATTCAGTACGATTTAACTCCGTTTAGAAAACTGTAAGTATAGAAGTGCGGGGAAAAAAACTACTACATTTTATGGGATTTATAATTTACATTTTCTTTAGGGATCTATCCGGTAAAAATGTATTTATTTGCAAACGATGCAACGTGTTTTTTTATGCCAGGCATGTGTGAGCTCAGCAAGTAGTTTTTTTTAAAATGTCGGTTGAGCGACCTCACTCCCTCTGATATTCATTACATTTTCCCTTACTGCCCGTACTGTTTTTCATTACCTGTGAAAGTAACCTAATTTTTTCCCCCATTCACATACGCAGAGTGTTTCCATTAGTCTTTTATCGCTAAGTCTCGTAAAGTTTTACGTCCAAGAAAACAACACGGCGCACACCGCGGACAACGCTACCGCACTATACATCTTTAGCCTTAAATCTTTCTCTTTCCTTGTTTCTGAAACGAGAAACATTGAGCATTAATGTATTCCGAAATAAATGAGACACGTCACGCTCCACGCCCCGTCGGCCCCATGACGGCCCCGTGACGGCCGTGCCCTCCGCAGGGTGGCAGGCGGGATGCGGAGCGAGAGGAGGAGGGGGCGCGAGGAGAGGGCAGAGGAGCCGCACCTGAGCCCCATGAAGAGGAGGAAGGCGATGACGAGGGCCGCGAGGGAGATGCAGTGGCCCAGGTAGTTGATGATGAGCGCCACCTCGTAGTGGAAACTTTCCGTCTGTAATTACGACACGGAGAGGGTGGAAGGGAGGGGGGGGATTTTCATTTCATCAAGGAGCGGGCGTGATAATTGCTGTGGTTGAGGGACGTTGCCGCGCTGTGATGGTGAGCACCCTGGACTTGCGACCCAGAAGGTGTGCACGTGCACGCGCTGAACTTCCTTCAGCGCCGCACGCGGTCGACCGCGCTCATCCGCGGTGCGGGTTTGATTCGATCTCTCGGTGCGGCAGCTGAAACAACGGTGTACGCTTCTAAACAATGACAAAAGCCCCTGTTTCTGTCCACACCCGGCAGAATAAATGGGCACACCACAGTTAGCCAATCGCCAGGTGGCGTGTGGTGGGGTGTGTTGTGGGTAGTGTAGTGGGTAGTGTAGTGGTTAGCGCGCTGCGCTGCGAACCCGGCCACCCGAGTTCGATTCCCGATCATGGCCAACACCGGTGACAATTGTTTGGACCGGTCGTGGGCCTCCCCTAGGTCGACTCAGCCTCAAATGAGTACCTGATGTGGTGTAAACATCGCCACTCGGGAAACAAAGGCGGTCAGGCGTGGTGCTGGCCACCCACCCCCTTGTGTACCGTTCCGGCCTTCATAGGTGCTCGCTAACAGCACTTGCCCCTACAGTCTGTTGTGGGTACCCCTACCTCTCCCGAGGTGTTTGGCCAGCATTACAAAGCAGGCCACAACAGCTGCTAGAGCCGTCGAATGTTTGGGAGTGATCGCGAAGAACCAGCAGCAGACAGCCGTCAACCCCCACCACCGGCCCTCCCAACTTCCTCGGTGGTGCGTGAGCAATAGGGCAAGCAGACAGAGAGACGCGCGCGGACGCGGAGACACACGGCGACACGCAGACATGGGAACAGAAATGCACGAATGCACTCGATCACTGTTGGCCGAATTGTCACGGACTTTGGTACCGCTTGATTTTCTTGTTTTACATAAGATCAATAAAAAACTGAGGATCGTGGGTTCTCTCTCAGCAACAACACATGGATTCCTGCAGTCTCGAAAGCTTCAAATCAAAATTAAAGTGCCGTTTGTTGTCAAACCCGTGGAATCTAGGAGCACAGGTGGACCGATCTTAGGCGGTGGCTGTAGGAATATAAACGGCTTTCCTTCTGAAAAATGTTTTCTGGCAGGATAAAAAAAAAAGATTTAAAGGCATATGTTAAATAATGAAATAAAGAGCCACATGGATGTAACCGTCCCAGGAGGCACATTCCCTCGACTGCAATTCTTCAAGAGGTGCGCTGAGATGTGCCGGCAGATAAAAATGGGATGAGCAATTCTCAGGCTTACACTCGTATCCCTGCCTGCCAGTAATTTAGCGTCGTTTGGAGAGAGATCACCTTCACAGCCAGGTAAGAGCCCATTGCGACCAGATCCTTCATGTTCAACGGGGACCTCGACTTTAATAAGCAAAGCAAAAGGACGCATACCAACGTGGAAACAATGTAATGCAAAAATATCAATAGCAAAATGGCACTGCGCTGTTAAGAACAAATATGAAATAATAAGTGATGTATGTGAAAATGATTACTGTATTCCCTGGATTATACGGTGAATATTTATCCCTGTATTTTAAAGCATCTTAGCACGATTGGCTACGTATGTATACGATGAATGTTTGTTACGCAAGATTTGTTGAAGTTTATCGACACCGGACGCGCGTTTCGGGTTGCATCTTACTTTCCGGAGCATCTTGCTGAACCCACCCACACTGGGCGTCTGTGCACAAGAGCTCCCTAGCTGATTCTGATCTTACACTCTGGAGGATGCGGTCAATATGAAGTGTTAAGTCACGTGATAGACAGAAACTGCCCATTTATCCCTCAATCGTTGGGTGGTGGGGTTCAGTGGTGGACAACGCCTGTCAGATCACAACAAACACTCAAACTGTATGATAATTAAATTTCGATTTAAAACTTTCGTGACTGCAGGGATTCATCTTCTTGGTTCTTTCGGTAAAGTAACGTAGAAGGGAAATAATAAAATAATAATAAATAAAACATAATAAAATAAAACAATATAATAAAAAAATATAATAAAGTAAAATAATATAATAATATAATAGATTTATATAATAAAATAATATTGTATATTTTTTATTATGCTTTATTTTTATTACTTTATTATTTCCCTTCTACGTAACTTTACCGAAAGAACCAAGAAGATGTATGATAATTGTATTAAAGGAGGTTCCAATGGTGACTCAAACTGTACTTCATTTAGCACGTGCGGGCATGTGTGTTGGTCAGAAGCAAGTGTACCTTGTTTTCCACGATGGGCTTACACTCCGAGTAGTTTGAAATGAGCGCCCATGTCCCATTCTCCAGACACTCTCGGTATACGGTTCCTGCAACAACAACAACAACAACGATTACTAATGAATTGTAACTCTCAGGAAAGTCGTGGGTTGAGAAGATCGAAATGGCTCCGTCGTTTTTGCATTTCACACCAAAAAAAAAACGCCAAGTGCGGTTAAAAGAGAGTGAAATTCACACCAGAGGAAAGTTAGGGTTAAGCCAACACGGATGTAGCATGCAACTGTAAACACACACTTATTTCATTTGTTAAATGGGAATGTACAGAACCGTGAAAGGCGCGAGACAAAATGCAAGAAAAATTTAATTGAAATTAAATTCAGCAAATTAAATTACTGTGGTTAATGAGGCATAATTCCTTGTAAAAGGTTTCAGTTTCGTGTTTTTATCATCTTAACACCTGTTTTGTTGCCAGAAAAAAGGGGAAAACCTATTCTCATATTAAAATGGATTTAATGTTTCCCAACGCCAGACATTTCAGTGATGGCAACTTTCTCAAACAATGTATTTTGCATATTTACCTATTTGTAATTTAAATATCTAACGATAAACCCACTTTTCACACGACAAACCACGTGCTTCGCCCTCGGTTGCTGCTCATGTGTAAAATTATTAACATACAAAAGTAAATCTCCGAATTTCTATTAAAACGTCTTATCTTGCATTTGGAATGGGGAAAACGTATCTTGCCGAATACAATACAGTGATGAAATATTGCGGGCACTTACGATGATTAAATTACTTAAGTAGAATAACGTGTCTGTGTTGGTTGAGAAGACGAACAAATGACCGCCCCCCCCCCCCCCCCCCCGCGTGTGCTATTGCCAGCCTTGTTAAGGCACTCGCGAACGACACTCTGCCGACGCAGTCTATAAAAGCCAAGCAGAACGTCCGTCTCTTCTTTGGCAAGGCCAGACGAGCTCGGATCCGCTAACCGTAGCGGGAAGGAATCACGCAGCAAGGGGCCTCGGATATGGAGGCCATCCTCTTCGCCTTTGGATGCATTCTCTAATGTTGTAATGTTGTACTCTGACACAATGGTCATGTTTCTGTACGGTTCCTCTCTCCCACACTATTGTAAACAACACAAAAATGTTGGTCTCAGTGGAGCAGTGCACTGTGGTGAATGAAAGATCCCATGGCCTCATTACTTAACTCGTTGGATAAATTTTACTTTCATGAGAGCGCCAACATTTTGTATGTGTAAATGACGGAAAGAACCCATCACAACAGAATAATTAGCACACGCTGGACAATGAGATCTCTCCGCGCACACTCACCTCTGAGGATGAGATCACACGCTTTGATTATCTTATACACAATGCCCGGTACTGCATCATGTGCGTAAACACTGCCGGGGACAATTGTGAGACCGAGGAGCTGAATCGTGTGGCGTTTCTTTTCATGCTTTTGGTATAATTGTGGCGTTGGCCAGAATTCCGCAAAAAAGCAATTCTGTCCAATGCATGCAGCAGCAATTTGTGAGGCAGTGTTTCTCCTGACAAAGTGGACGCAGCTCAATTTTCCATGAAAATAGTCGTGTCCTGCTGTGGGACTGTTTCCGTCGCTCCACTTATATTTTCCAAGCTTCTGGCCCAGCGGTTGTTGTTTGATGCCTGTACGGCTGCAGTGCCATTGCAGACGCACGGCTGAATGGCCGCATAGCTGTACGTCCGTGCTGTCGACAAATTCCTCAGCAGTGCTACTCACACGCGACCACGTGAGCCACTTGCAGCCTCCGCTACATCATCCACGCAACACGACGACCACGGAGGAGTGGCCGTTCGCTTGACGAAAGCTGTTGCCTATCACCGCCGCTCCAGCCCAGCCAAGTTGCTCGTGCCAGGGTACACCAGTTGGAATTGGCTGACCAGAGCCGGCTAGTTCGGGGGGAGGCGGTGTCCTGTGCAATCCAGCACAGGCTGGGTGCTGTCAGACGTTTTCTGTTGGGTTATTGGAAAAATAATAAAAAGGTGGCACGATGTATGTTGAACTTCTTTCGCACCTGGCGTGTCCAACCTCACTAATTGGAGGTGCGGGATACGAGGAAGATGTCGGTGTTGAACGATAGGAAAGCGCATGCCGTTTGTAGCTTGCCACTTTCAACGACGTTGGAAAAATAAAAAAAAACAGTCGGTGGAATTTTTCGATTTAAAGCTTTCGTGACTGCAGGAATTCATCTTCTTGGTTCTTTCGGTAAAGTCACGTAGAATGGAAATAATAAAATAATAAAATAATAAAATAATAAAATAACCAAGAAGATGAGTCGGTGGAATGTTGATCGCATACCGTGAAGGTGCCCGTCTCCAACCAAGGCCAGAGCTGCTGGTGGTAACAGGTTGCAATGTTCTATTTCTGTTGCGTCAACACGAACAGGTATCTAATGATTATATATACGTGCTCGTGAAAAATATGTAATGCCTAAATATTTACATCTTTGGTTGGTGTTATTTGTATTTTGATCTTGATTTGAAGCTTTCCGTGACTGCAGGAATCCATACTCTCTGGTTCTTTCGATAAAGTGACGTGGAACAGAAGTTCCACTGCTGGATCGAAACGTCGTGATATATTATAATTTTTTGGTTTTATTGTTATATCTACGTGACTTTACAGAAAGAACCAAAGACTATTTGTATTTTGTTTCGCCTGAGTTATATGTTTCCCAACTGATTGGTTTTCTCAATAACCGGTGTAGATGTAATTGTATTTGTAGTTTGCAACAAAGCTTTTATTAGTCTATTCAATTCGATTTTTTTTGTAATACATTTTATGTCGCGTATGCCCGCGCTGTTGAAAGTAGCCTCTTATCTCGACACACACACAAAAACCTCGTCAAAATATCGTTGCCCTCCGAGAAAGAGATAGGAACACGCCGTCAGGATGTGCTCTGATTAAGTCCCCACGACACATCCCTCTGAATGTTGAGCACCTGTGTAAGTACAACGAGGAGGACGCGGTTTGTTTTCGCGGGGTACTTTTCTCGCAGCGCCCAGAGAACACTCGAGCATTGTTGCAATCAAGATGCGTTAAGCACACGATATAAATCCCTCGTAAAGGACGAAAGCAAGAGCGGAGAAGTTGGAGGGAGTGCAGAGCCCCCCACCCCCCAATTGATCCTGGAAGTGTTCCAGACAATCGAGGATCACCGTGCCCTGCCAATCCATGCTCACCTGGGACCCCTCCTTGACCGGGCGCGCAGCGTCAAAGAGCGCGCGTGACAGCGCACGTGTGCAGGCGATAAAGCGCCGACGCGTGCAGCGAAGAGGCGCGGACTCACTGTGAATCTCGTACCGCACGCCGTTGAAGAACTCCGGGCAAGGCCGAGACACCACCTGGCCGACCGGCGTGCTGGGCCAGCACGTCTCGATCTCGTCCAAGGTGCTGTTACAGACGGGGCCTGCGGGAGCGCACAGGCCAGGGCGCGCGCTTCAGGTGTACGTACGTACCTTGAACTTCTTTCGCACCGTACGTAGCCAAGACTGCGCTAATCGGAGGTTTGCGGGAAATCGGAAGTGGGGCGGCACCCGCGGTGGATGGGCTCTTTGTGGAATGATATTCGAGACGGCAGCCCCTTCGTGCCGTTCGGCGGGTCTGATCGCGCTCACGGTTTTTTTAGCTCAAGCGAGGGGGGGGGGGCGGTGGGGGGGGGGGGGGGGCACGTCTCACACGGAGCGTTCGCCCGGACCGGTGACTTTCACGCAACTTGCATTCCGCGGGCCGCAGCGCTGCCGAAATCAAGACGCAGGCCACCGCACCTCCCGGTGCTGTGAATTAGCATATCAATCAGGGGCGCTGTATTCAACCCGTACGCCCTGCTTTGCTTTGGTACAAATCTGGGCGGTGACACCCCCCCCCTCCCCCTGCAGATGGATTACCTCTGCCATCAAGCTTACAGCCACGGCGGCGACAAGATAGATTGGCCACTGATAAGCACGCGGACACCATTTTTCCATTTGTAAAAATGGTAATACTGTAAATATTTCCCAGCTAAGGCACGCACAAAGGCGGTGTGCCAAAAAGTCACATTTGCTCACCCTAGAAAAAGACAACTCGATTTTAATTCGACGAATGCAAGGTCCTTGACGGACGCAGACTCGCGTATGGCCGGGCAGGGGAGTTGTTTGGTGTCAGCTGGAGGCTTGCGGGGGATGAGCGAGCGCGTACCCGTGATATTGATCCCGTCGCTCAGGAACTCGCAGTCCTCGTCCACCTGCGACGAGATGGAGGATGCGGAGGTCCACAGCAGCTGCCAAACCAGAGAGAGAAAGAGAGAAAGATCGCAGTCATAAATCAGACACGGCAGAAAGGCCGCGACTATTATCGTTATGCACACGTGGCACGAACATGAAATGGTCCCCGTGAGACTTCCACACACCTGCTCGGGCAGGCGCACGTGAACACCGATGAGAGGAGGCGCGACTGTTCCGACGCCTCCGTGCACACAGACCGCTCGATTGTAACGCTTGTCATCAAGCGGCGAGGCATTGTTTTGGGCCGCTTGCTTTTACGGATGACGGATTTACGGAATAAGAATTTACAAAAACCGAGCCGTCTCGCCATTCAAAGCGGCGGTGACGGAACTTTCGACGTGGCGATACAATGATGAGATGACTCATTTTTGAGTCTGCGCTAGAACGGTGCAATTTCAGTCTCTCTATCATTCCCCTATTGTCCAACGACAGCTTACAGGTAACGCGAATCGTTCGCCACGAGCTGCTGGATTGAAGGCCTCCCCAAGTCGTCGCCATCTGGCACGACCGAGCAAGGCGCACGCGAGCTGATTCCATCGCTCCGTCACCCTGGCGGAAATTCCTCGTGGGTCTCCTCGCCTCCTGCGGGTTCCACTCCATCGTTCGTCTTGACCACCGGCCAATCATCCCTTTTGTCGCCCGATCTCGGATGCGCTTCTGCGGCCGTCTGGAACGCTCTTCCCTTCCGATATAACGACGCCACTGGAGCCACGCACTGTTAAATCATCATCTAGATTGCAAACTCATTTGTTTAAAACTGCTTTTTGTGTTTAGTTTGTTGTCATTACCCCTCGCATCTCCGGTTAACACGGTTGGCTACGTACGGTGTGAAATCAGTTCAACGTACATACGTACTGTACATACGTACATACATGTTGACGTGTTCTGCCCAAGCCCGATTTACGTGTTCTGCCCAAGCCCGATTTACTTTCCGAAACACTAAGTGCGATGACTTTAAGTTGCGCCGACGCAGACGCTGACAAGAGAAGATTCATAAACGGAGCAAAAGCTGAACGATGCACAAGGAGGCATGGAAGCGTGGAGAGGCGCGCGCCGGATATTACAATTTTGAGACACGTAGAGAATTATGGGATTAGGAAACCGGCCGCTTGTCACGGTTGGCTACTGATGGTGCGAACAAAGTTCGACATAGATACAATATAGGAATATAGGATGAGGGAATCATATGTCCTGAGCAGTTAATGTATACGATGAACACTTTCTTTTTTAGACACATTGCTATGTAGCTTTTCGTTATTAAGTTGAGGTTTCTAAAATAACTGTAACCTGAGAATAGGCCTTACCCTTTCTGGCAATAACAGAGTTGTGTTAAGATGTTAAAACACCAAACTGAAACCTTTTGCAAGGATCATCTTTCTGCATTAACCACAATACTTGTGGTGAGCGTGCAAACAAAAAACATGCTCTGGTAGAATTGTGTTGTTTTTTTGTTTGCATGTTCACCGCAGAGATGTGTGGTTAATGCAGACATGATTCCTTGCAAAAGGTTTCAGTTTGGTGTTTTAACATCTTAATACAACTGTTTTATTTCCAGACAGGGTAAAACCTATTCTTATTTTTTGACACTGGCAAGAGGGCCCCATGATGACTGCAACCTGTTTGTGCCCACGCATTTAAGTCGTCATTTCGGTCCTGGTCCACCCGTGATAACCGCCCCAGGTATGAATGCCCTCTACTCTGTAATCAACCATCGGTAGTAGATTGCATGACGGATACCACCTGGCTATGTGAAATGGTTCCGCTTGATTACAGCGGGGCCATGCTTCCCATTTGAAGCGAAGCTATCTCGCAGCAATGTGTTGACGTATGTATGTTGAAATTGTTTTTAAAATCCTTTATATTAAGTTCACTTGCTTGCTTGCTTGCACGCTTACGACCGTGCAAATCTTTCGGTCGTTTTTTAACCCACTTCCCGTGATCCAATCGAGCTGACATTTTGCACACAGACTCGTTGTGCATGACAATTTATTTTCGTGAAAAAATATTTCCAAAATTTTACACTTTTTAGGATTTTTTTTTCTATTTAATTACCAATTGCTTAATGGTGGCAGGCAATCATCTGACCCATAGGTGGCAGCCATCTCAAGCCAGAGGACGAGAGGACTCTAGCCGCCACGCATATAAAGGATTTATAGTGAAAAACTTTGTTTTTACGGGTTAATTTTTTAATCGTATGTAGCCAACCGTGCTAATAGGAGGTGCAGGCCTTTTTGTAGACAAATTAGACATCAGTCATTGTATTATTTATGGACTCTATTCCCGTCTAGCTGCAGTCGTATGGACGTATTGAACATGGACACGAACAGCCCTGGACGAAGCCGTCTCCACGCTTTGTCGTTCATGGGGGTTGTTTAACCATACTTCACCATTACGGTCATGTGCTGGTTGGTGAATGTGGAGAGAGTGGGGGCGGGGGGAGGAATCCGGGGATTGTTTCAGATAATCACTCACCGATGATGGTAGCCATTGCAGGGAATCGAACTCTGCTTGTCGCGATTGTGGTGCGGTGCACAAACCACTTGACAGCCACTCCACTCCACTATGCAAATGTTATACTGGTAACCTCCTGGTTACACCAGCCCACAGAGGATTATTGTGTCCGTCCGTCGTGCATCCAAAAATGGGAGGGGTGGGGCTGGGTGGAGAGGGGAGGGGTGGGTGGGGCTGGGTGGGGAGGGTGGGGAGGGGCTGGGTGGGGAGGGGCTGGTCACCCCGTGGTGCCCTTATAAAACTCAACGTTTAACCTACTCACGCCGGCTTGTGCCCGTCCTCATAGTCAGGCATATTTGCGGAATACACCACGCCGCCGTTGACTGACCGAGCAACCCAACGTTCCTACCAGCTATCTCCGCAGGAATGTGTTTCTGCCGTGTGGATCGAATGGCCTTCCCCGAAAATCTCCACGTTCAAGATCAAATGCAGGGATAAGTACGAGTTTACCACAGAGAAGGGTGCGTGGGGATTCAATGTGACCAACGCACCACGATTACAACAAAAGCTGTTGTCCTCAGGGAGCACGTTAAAGATAAGAGGCGGCGTTCCAATAGCACGTCACTTTCATAAGCCTGACACAGAAAAGCGATGGCTTTTAATGCCACCTCAACATTCTGAATGAGTAACCTTGCAATGTAGCACTGCTACATTGCAAGGTATATCCGAACACATTTTAAACAGAACAACAGCCCCTCTGCGACGTGCCACAGAAACCTGAATACTGCAATCGGTCACGAATCATTAAGCAATGACAAATCATTTCATTGCATACGCTGTATCGCTAAACGTTTATCCTCGTCCATCAGGGAAGATAGTGCTTCCTCTGTCTGCTGCTCGCACGGTGAGGGGCGTTGTGTGTGGGGGGGGGGGTGGTCACTGCTTCCCCTCTGCTGCTCACACTGTCTGAAGTAACGGATTTATTTATTGAGTGTTTTTTTTTTGTCAGCTGGCTACGATTGGGCAAGTTCGTAGCACCACCATGTTTCACCCAGACAGCCAGAGAGCACATACTTAGATATATATTGACTGCTATAAATAGAATTACATATATTTAAGAATGCACAAATGAAAAAAACCCCACAAATATACAATTAAGAAGGACTGAACTTTAAAAAAATACTTATGATTATCAATGATTTTCATTGTCTGGAACATCGTTCCAATATCGACCCAGGCTACTATTTAAATCCGAGACGGGGAAAAAGTCACAATGTCGGTAAAAGAAATGAACGCCATCTATCAGGCTGTATCCAAAATGTTAACAAACCCTGACATCAGATTCCCTTTAATTATACACACGTAGTCTTTCACGCCCAATATTATGATTCGTAATTGTTTTTTTGGGTTAAGTCGTGGACAGATCTCAACAGCTCAGAGCTCGAGACGTGAGCTCCTGGTAACCCGAGGATGCTGGATGTCATCTCCAGCGAAACGCCATTAGCCCTTTAAATGTTGTTAGATTCGTATCCAACAAACAACGCCGACGGTGCTGCTGATGCGGTGATAAATTTGCCACGTATGAATCACGTGACACTTTCATGAATGTGCTGCGTCGGGTGGAGGAGGGTTCATGACACATTTATTACACAACCCAAAAACCCAATTACCGTCTTTAGCTTGCATTCACTCTCATAGTTCAATGACGAAGACCCATTTAAATCCACTCAATAATGGATTTTGTTCAAGCTCCATTACCCCGCATTTTACATGCCATCTAGACACGGAGTTTTGTTTACTCACGATCTTATATTTCAATGTCAATTGCCCTTTGCAGGACAACGCTTGTATTTTCATTAGGCCGATGATGTTGCATTGATTCATTGGTTCTCAATCGGTTTGTTTAGAGGGGGGGTTATGCTCACGATGAACGTTTCAAATCGCACACGAGAGAATTCATTATTTCCAATTGGTGCAAATGATGCACTGATGCTACGTTTAAGCTAGCGGCACGGACAAAAATACGCGACCGAGACAAAATTAGGAACGCAAACTAGTGCGGTGAAAATGAATGAAAATGAGAATTGATTCTTCACTCGAAATTCATGCAACATCAATTTGTGAGAATGTATCAAATCAAGACAGTGGAGGCATGGGGCAGTGAATCGTTGTTCGCCAAAATCTCATTGATTTAATTTAATTTCCATCTCCTTGCCTGCTATGATTCGATATCTTTCACAGCTGCCGTTGTACTTGGGCTGGAATATAAAACGGAACTGAATTATCTTTAAGAACAGGCGTCCTGCCATTTCTTTTTTTAAATCACATATTTTACGGTGTGGAAGCTATTAGCCCGATGACATATCACAGGGATTATTACAGGCGAATGGAGGGAGGTGTATTCAGTGATCTGTCAATGGCTCTAAGTTCAATCAAATAGAAACAAAATGATGACAGGTCACCATGTCGTGCGTACGTGCATCCGGCAGGAAAATGCTTCAACACAATCCAAACTAAGTTCGTGTTTGCAGCCAATTTATCCATACCCTGCTGCGTATTACAATACGGCAAGTGAGAGAGCCTGTACAGGAACGGCGGACAACCCTCAGCCCGACCCAGGATGGGTTCTTGCAGAGTCTCGGACCGTACGTAGCCAGCCACGCTAATCGGAGGTGCGGGGGAAGGACAACAAACTAAACACAAAACGCTGTTCTAAAGAAATTCGTTTTCAATCGAGGTTTAAAAGTGCAAACCCTCAATTTCCAGATACATTTTCTGTGTGTGTGTGTTTTGGATGCCGTGAAAAGCCATTTCAAACCATCATCCATCTAGGGTCAATAAAACAAGTATCACTTTGTGAGGTAAGAAAAAGGTGATTGTCCTATAAAAAGACTCGCCCCCTTTCATCGAATTGCCGAATTTTGACCACTGACTCAGAGCTGTGAACAGGAGAATGAGCATTGTCTCGAGGATTACTTGATCAGCACATCAACGTTGACTCTGGCTTGGGTTAAGCAACAATTTCCACTGTCATATTCAGCATCCACTGCTTCCGATAGTGGCGCTCGCGGGGAGACAGCTTGACTTGCAAAATGAGTGTTGCAAGTTCAAATCCAGGGAAAGGCTCAGCTCGACTTCATTATCTTGCTCTGCGCGATAAAACAAGTAGTATTTCGTGGGAAGCTGATCGAGGCCATCCTACAAAAATCATGGAAATGTAGAATTGCCATGACTGTCTCACTGCCTCCTAGTCTCCATGCCAGCCGGTCTCCCTGCACCCTCCAATGGGAGACCGATCCAGCGTTGTAAATTCCACATTCCTACGGCAGGGGACAAATCTCTCCTCGGGGCATCCACTCCACAGGGCAACCTCCTGTGCCGGAGAGCAGCTGCGTTTGTTCGGCTGAGGCATTTGGAGTCTGCCGTGCGAGCGTGCTGTGGATGCGGCACAGGTGGCACTACATCCCAAGCAGCTGTCCTCCCTAAATAGACCTCACCTGGATATTGCACCCCGCCTACCCCCTGTGAATCCCAGAGTAAATAAATAACGTGTACAGCCACGCTTGTTCAATCACCAACGAGTGGAGTCGTGTTTGTCGCACAGGCAATATATCCTGCAGAGTGATGCCAGCATGTAGACTACAGGGACACGCGGTTTGCATAGACACACCAGTGATACTGCAGTCAAAGACGAGAAGACCACAATGCAGTGCTTCAGGAACTACTGGTGGTGGTTTGTCGCATAATGCGCAATGACTGAGCGCTTTTCTTGCACCACGTATCGGCTTTGTTCAATTTGACTTGTTGGTTCCTCGGCCAGTACAATGTTTCTGTTGTTATGATGATGAACTCTCTCGTGATTCACAAATTGTATTTCCGTGACGCCAACGCGTGGGACAGACCGCGCGTGCAGACAAGTGGCCTCCGGCGTGATCGACGACAACTCTGCTATGAAACACCCCCCCTGCTCTCACAAACCAGAATAACTCTAAAAAACAATGCACCTTTGGAATCTCTGGTGGAAAGTTACATTGACTCACGAGAGTCATGTTGTACGTGTGAGAGTTCGGGATGTGGTGGGGAGCGGTGGTGTAGCGGTTACGGCGCTGCGCTACGAACCCGGCGACCCGAGTTCGATTTCCGCTCACGGATAACACCAGTGACGATTGTCTGAACCGATCCTGGGTTTCCCCTAGGTCGACTCAGCCTCAAATGAGTACCCGGTGCGGTGTGTAAAAGCATCGCCACTGGGAAGACAAAGGCGGTCGGGCGTGGTGTTGACCACCCACCCCTCGTGTGCCGTGCTATCCTTCATAGGTGCTCGCGAACAGCACTTGCCCCAACATTCCCGGTCACGCCGTGTTCGTAGCGCAGCGTGCTAACCGCTACGCTACCGCTCCCGGTTAACGTGGATCTTTGTCTTTGATATCCCGGTCAACGTGTAATGTTTAGCCACGTTGATCAAGCGGCTCCAACCACGTGATGATGATGATGGTTGACCCGACGTTTGCATATTTACTGGGATGAAGGTGCGTCGTTGCGAGAGTGTGATGCACGGTCTCCGGCATCATGCACGTTGCATAAGTAACCGGTAAACGGCCTTTTGGCCGATTCCTATTCCTATTAAGCGTCGCACTCCATGGGAGGCAAATGACTTGGTTCACTGATGATGACTCTTTCTCTCTCTCTCATGTGTTCGTACAACAAAATTGGTGTTAAGATGTTAAAGCACCAACCGGAAAACTTTTATAAGGAATCATGTCTGCATTAACCACAATGCTTGTGGTCAGAATGCAAACAAAAAAACCTACTCTGATAATATATGCATTGTCTTTGAAACTGATTGGTCCACACCAGAGACAGCTTTCTTTTGAGCCTCGTCCTCTGGTCTAACACCGTTTGAGACGAGGCTCCAAATACCAATCAGTTTTAGAGACAATGCATATATTATCAGTGTGTTTATTTGTTTGATTCTGACCACAATCATTGTGGTTAATGCACCCAGGATTCCTTGTAAAAGGTTTCAGTTTGGTGTTTTAACATCTTAACACCTGTTTTGTTGCCAGAAAAATGGGGGAAACCTATTTGTCATATTTTGGTACTGGCAAGGGAGGTCCCATGATGTGTTCGTACAGTCAGTGTTTAGCGTGGGACTTAAGCAATATGCAACTCTGTGCTGACATTGTCTCTCCGATTGGAACCCATCAAAGCAACCGGCCTTCCCGTCGTTTATTTTTTGGGTGGGGGAGGGGGGAGGAAACACAATTTAAAAATTTTGGCGGTTTGGGATTTTTCTGGCTCGTATACGACTCTGTACAAGCCACATTTCAGCTCTTCTGGAATGTGTAGAACATTACAATCGACGTCCCTCGCTCGCGACCATCTATTTATAACTCCAGTAGCAAGACTCCAAAACTGCCGTGGTCCCATCGTAACAAAACAAACAAACCTACAAAACGCCTCCTCGTATTTTATCTCTCCAGATACATATTTCTATTGTACGTGGAATAAAATCAAAACAAATGACACTTCGATGTCGATACCGGTCCAGAGTTTTTGCTTCGCGTCAAAACCAAAAGCTGCTGCGTCAATCTGCTCCGACGAAGTCTGCGTGGTGGTGGCGGCTGCGACGACCATGGGATGTTGTCACAACGAACAAAAAAATAAAAAATAAATTATACTTGCGGAGAAAATACGAAAATGTGAAGGAGGAATTTGCGGGCTCATTCTCCACCACCCACCCACCCACCCGCACTCCATCGCACGCCGCTTAGCTCGTGAAAGGCTGTGGGTTCGCAAATCGTCCTGCGGAGTCCTACCGATGATTGGCCGCGGAGAGGAATCGAACTCATGTCCCCACGGCCGGCTCACGGCGGCAGCGGTGCGTGAACCACCCCGCTGCACCTCCCGACAGCGTTCTGCTGTGCACGTGACATTGATTGTCTTCCAAAGACATTGCTCTTGTGCGTGGTCAAATAATGTAGTCCCGCGATTTGTTTATGCTAGCATGCTGAAACATGGCAAAATGCTGCATGCGACAGTGTGGTAATGTGATTTATGTGGTTGTATTATTATACATGGTGTTTGGTTGTAAATGAAAAATTGCTGTATATGACAGTAAGTTGTGTATTGTTATGTGAGTCATTTATCCCAGTATGTAGTTGTCATTGGCATGATTATCATCAGCTCTTTCTGTATTACGATTGAATTTGATCTGGTCTTGAGAGTGTTGTTGTATATTTTCTGTACAGCGCTTCGAGACATTTTTACCCGCAGTATAAGGCACTTTAACTAATTAATTATCATACCTAAACGTTAGCGTGAGTCTCTGTGGCAATGTTGCACATGAGACACTGCTTGTAGGAGAGCGGTGGTGTAGCGGTTAGTGCCACGCTGCGCTACGAACCTGGCGATCCGGGTTCGATTCCCGCTCACGGCCAACACCAGTGACAATTATCTGAACTGGTCCTGGGCCTCTCCTAGGTCGACACAGCCTCAAATTACTACCCGTGTAATGTGTGAACATCGCCACAGGGAGACAAAGGCGGCCGGGCGTGGTATTGGCCACCCACCCTTCGTGCGTCGTTCCACCCTTTATAGGTGCTCGCTAACAGCACTTGCCCCTCGAGTATGTTAAGGCTATATGGGCGATCTTTGTCTTTGTATGATGGAGCCCGCATCGCATCTCACCTGCGTGAGAAGGACGAGGAGGAGAAGACGTCTCAGGGGACCGAGCGGTGACGACAGACCCCGTTCCATGTTCCCACCGGGGTCCTCACGGCTCCTCCTGGCTCCAGGTGGCTCCTGACGGCTCCTCCTGGCTCCACCTGTCTCCCGAGCGGCTTCACGTCCACGCTCTCTCCTCCTCCTACTGCTGCTGCTGCTCCCGCACTCGAGTGCCGCTGGTTCTCCCAGGTGCCGGTCCTCGAGGTGCAGCTCAAAGTCGGGTCAAGTAGGTGGAGCCAGGCACTCTCGCTCCTCGATCAGGCAGACAGACAGACGCGCACGTGGTCCTGTTGACTCAGCTGTTCCCCGTCGTTCTCAGGTGTGGTCTCGGTGTCGAGAGCAGACTCGCGGTTGTTCCTTCTGACCCCCCTTGCTCTTGGAAGTGGTCCTAAGGAGGCCCAGACTCGAGGCGCTTCTGGTCACAGAGGTCCGTTCTGCTCCGTGGTTGCGATCGTTATGGTGGCTGCCGGTCACGGCGATTCTTCGAACTCGGCGCTGGTTCCAGGCGACTCTTGACGCATCCGCGGGCACCGCGCGCGCGCTCCTCGCGGGAGACGCACGAGCGGCGGGAGCCCCCTGCTCATGACGGCGCAGGAGGGGAGGGGGCAGGGGGAAGTGGCTTGTGTGGGGGGGGGGTCTGTGGGGGAGTTGTGTGAGAGGGGGGGGAGTAAGGGGATGAAGAGGAGGAGCGCACCGCCCCTCGCACCGCCCCATGAATCCACCACCTCTCTCTCTCCCTCCCGTCCCCTCCACCTTCCACCTCCTCTCCCTCCATTATCTCGCTCTGCCTCTCTCTCTCTCTTCCTCCTCTGCTATCTATTCAACCCCCCCTACCCTCTCTCTCCATCTCCCTCCCTCCCCAAAAAATGTTATTTTGAAAATGTGCTGCCCTCATCTGCATTGCTTCGATGCCACCAGTGATGACGAGCGCTTTACTCGATGTTCGTGTGAGCACGGAGGAGACACTTTGAGAGAACGGAGGAGGGACTTTGACTTTCTTCGTTTTTGTCTGCACGACGAGAGAACCCACAAGGCGAATCGCGAGACGCGAAGCCGCCGCATTTAAAAGCCATTGATGCCGGAGGTGCAACCGATGACGAGGAAAGTGACGAAGACGCTCACAGGCAGATTCAGCAGCGCTGGTCCCTCCGGAAGCGCGCGGGCGCGTGTGTGTGCATGCGTGTGCGTGTGTGAGTGTGTGCGTGCGTGTTTGTGTGTGCGTGTGTGTGTGCGTGCGCACTTGTATGCGTGCGTGTGTGTGCGTGTGTGCGTGTATTCGTGTGTGTGCGTGTGTGTGCGTGTGTGTGTATGCGTGAATGTGTGCGTGCGTGTGTGCGTGCGTGTGTGCGTGTGTGTGCGCGCACTTGTGTGTGTGCGTGTGTTTGTGCTTATGTGTGTGTGCGTATGTGTGCGTGTGTGTGTATGTATGTATGCGTGCGTGCGCGTGTGTGTGTGTGCGTGTGTGGGCTGGACTCGCTAAAAGCTCACTGTTTGACGAATGCGCCGAGTGTTATTCACATTTTCATCAACGCTCCTTTGCGGCGGAGTGACCTTGCGTGATGTGAGTCAGCACGAGGGAGGCAGTGCCCTGCGTGTGTGCGCGCGTGTGCGTGTGTGCGCGCGTGTGCGCGTGTGTGCGTCTGCGTGTGCGCGTGTGCGTGTGTGCGCGTGTGCGCGTGTGCGTGTGTGTGTGCGCGTGTCTGCGTGTGTGTGGGGGAGCGATAGTGTAGCGGTTAGCGCTACGCTGCGCTACGTACCCGGCGACCCGGGTTCGATTTCCGCTCACGGCCAACACCGGTGACTATTATCTGAACCGGTCCTGGGCCTCCCCTTGGTCGATTCAGCCTCAAATTAGTACTTGGTGCGGTGTGAGGTAAACATCGCTACTGGGGAGACAAAGGCGGCCGGGCGTGGCGCTGGCCACCTACCGTTTTGGCCTTCATAAGGAGCTCGCTAACAGCACTTGCCTCAACAGTCTGTTAAGGCTATACGGGGGATCTTTGTCTTTGTTTGCGTGCGTGTGTGCGCGCGTGTGTGGGCGCGCGTGTGTGTACGTGCGTGTGTGTGCGTGCTTGTGTGTGCGTGCGTGTGTGTGCGTCTGTGTGTGTGTGCGTGCGTGTGTGTGCGCGTGTGTGCGCACGTGTGTGTGTGCCGTGTGTGTGTGTGAGCGCGTGTGTGTGCGCGCGTGTGTGTGCGCGTGTGTGTGCTCGTGCGTGTGTGTGCGCGCGCGTGTGTGTGCACGTGTGACTGCCCACTGTTGACTGCGGCGGTGGGATGTGCGGCTGGGGCGAGCTTTGTCCGTCTCAAAATCCCCACCGAGTCGACCCACCCGGTCTGAACACCCCAGTCCACGCGAAGCACCCAAACTCACGCACCCTTGATCAAGACCACCCCCCCCCCTCTCACCCGGAGAGCAAAGCCCTAACGGGTGGAAGTGAACGCGTGTGTTGGCTGTGAGCGTTGTGTTCCTCGCTAATTGAATTGAAATATTTTATACAAATGAGATGGACATTGACGTTAAATATTGACATCCGAATGTTTGCTGAAGCTGTTCGCAGAGATTTAAAAAAATTCATCTTCGAGGTTCAACGGCGATGCCTCTTGCAGGATACCATCCCTGGCCCCTTGACCTCCCACTATCGTCTCTCTCCGTCTGGATGTGACAGAACCATGGAACATTATTTCAAACTTGCGGAAGAGGGGAGGTGACCGTGGAGGCGATTAATTTACTGGACAAATAGCCTGCTCCTGCCTGCCGAATGTTATGAGGTTGCAGGGACAGCTTTCCCCTGCTGCTGCTGCTGTGTCACAACTAGGAATGGTGTTAGGGAAATAGAGCAGAGCCCCTGTGGAGTGATGGCGCAGTGGTTAGAGCATCGCGCTACGAACCCGGTGACCTGACTTCACATTCTCGGCACGGCCAACGTGAATCGTTCCCGGGTGCCCTCTACTCCACCAATCTGCACTGATCAACATGGTGACTTGTGGTCGAATAATCCTACGCCTGATATTATATAGTAGAGGCTTACATCCAGCGGTGCATGTATTGTGCGTTTAGTTTGTTGTCCTTCCCCCGCACCTCCGATTAGCACGGTTGGCTACGTACGGTGCGAAAAGAAGTCCAAGATACGTACAAATGGCTCTTCATTTTCATAATTAAAATGTATTCCGACCTCTGTTGTGAGGGCTTCACATGGCGCTCTAAATGACCGGCTGCAGAATCCTTTGATCAGTAGTAATCGTGCCTTCCACGAGTCATGCACCACGCCGTAATGAGCCATTCAGCAAATGTGCTGTGTTTCATGTGAGCATTTAATTTCCCTTAATCGTGACACTGCCAGTCAGGCAGTTTTCACACCTGATGATGATTGCTTGTGTTGCAGTCGAAACGTCGTGAGAATTTTATTGTTTTATTTTCATTATTTTATTATTTCCCTTCTACGTGACTTTACCGATAAAACCAAGAATATGAATCCCTGCAGTCACGGAAGCTTTACATCGAAATTTACCTCCCAAAAGTTGTGAGGCCGCCTTGCCTCAGCTTGCACGGTTAAAGTCGATCCAACCACCGCTGGAAATCTGAGCCGGCTTCAATCCCACCAAACACAAAACCGTTTTTACCAGAACGATATGCAGCATGGGCATTTTAATAGCGCTATACTCTTAAGCTTTTTTTGCGAATGAAATGTGATTGATAGACAAACACAAATAGCGCAGCGTCCTTGCCAGAGAGATAGAAGTGTCTCTTTGCTCATACGTCTGGGAGTCAAGCGAATAAAAATAACAAAAACGCTCCAACAGACATCAGCCAGGAAGTAAATACTTTTTTAATAATGAGTTACGATTGTTCAGAAAGCGCGCAACGTGGCCACACCATTCGGCACAAACGCGCTCCGACTCACGCGTTTACCCTGCGCCACTCTCTCGTGTCCGTCAGCACGTTGAAGTCCGCACCAACGAGGTGAAAAGCAGTCGCCCTCTCCGAAGCCAGCACCGCCCTCCTGCGACGCGCCTCCTGCATCTCCTTTGTGGCCACGTCCGGATGAGACAAATGCTGCCGCCGAGTGTCGCGCAAAAAAAAAGTGATCGTGTTGGCCTTTGAAATTTAAATTATCCCGCTGAGACAAAAAAGACGTGTAATTAAATATCGTTTTTCCATAAAGGGTAGCATCCGAATTCTGACTGGATGTTGATTGCAAGAGGCTCCTCTTGTTTTCGGGTAATATTTTAACTGCGCGTGTGCGTGTGTGGGTAATTTGGTCGTGGCTCCATATAACAGTGGCGCTGCATTGGATTTAATATCCATGCACGAGCAGGCAAGCATCAAGATAAACAGCCTCCCTGTGGCACAGATGCTTTTTCATTCGCGTACACAACACGGGTCTCTGTGGCCAACGAGGCAACAATAAACATTCGCCTTTGGCACCTGGCTCCACCACGTAGCCCGAAGCGGACACCTCCAGCGCTCATCTGTAATTAACCGTTTCATTCTGGATCACCATTTCAATCGGGAAAACACAGGAAGTTTACACAAAAGTGCGCGCGCGGAACGACGCTCTCGCACCTGGCGCTGAAGCATTCGCCGATTTCCTCATTCAGTGTTGAGCACAAATCACGTCCACAGGTGATATCTGCATTAATGCATTATGCATGCAAATTTGTGTTTGCCAGATCGTGTCCGTATAAATATCTGAATGCATCATTAATTCCGTGTGGGCGATTGGCGGGGAGATAGCCCGGGCTTGTTGGAGCCTGCGCGAGCCGAACCAGCTTCCCACACAATTCGTGACGCTGCTCGTTCTAAACCTTTTTTTTTGCTTTTTCTTGTCGCTTCCTGCTGCCGTGTACATTTTTTTTTTACGGAGGCGCGCATCAACGTCCGCTGGAAGGATCACTGCTTCGTAGGGAAATGAGCGTTTTTACATTCGCGGGCGACGGCGCACAGACAAACGTGGCCACACGAGCGACAAACACGCAGACACGTACACAGACACGTACACAGACACCGACACAGACACGTACACAGATACGGACACATACACGTACAACAATCGCCATTCGCCACTAAGTGGCGGTGACGTCACCACGACGCTTGTGCCAGGCCATGTGCACCTTGAGGCCACGTGAAGTGTCGAACGCCCGCTGGCAGGAGATCACGGGGCAGACCCAGGTGCCACGGGTCGACTGACTGAGATGACTGAGATGACTGGCTGATGCACCACCTGTGCCCCCCTACTGTGCCAACTTACACAGACACGTACACAGACACGTACACAGACACGTACACAGACACGGACGCACGCTGCCAAGTTGCGTATCCATGCGCCGGTGCACACACCAGTGTCACAACACAGTTAAACGCATAATTCGATTTGGGATTACATGTGGCGTGCACTTTCTTAATACGGCGATTATGAATGTGCGGCTCAGGTTTGACACAATGCAATCACTGACATTTCGCCCCCTCGACGCGCGCTAATCCTCATTGTGTGAGCGCCTTCGCCCGTGGCATCGATAAGCAAGGCTGGGAGAGATGGTCACCTCGCATGGCGATGAGCAGCAGTCGGTGGGACTCTTGCGGCCACCCGACCAGACACGGTGGGACACCGTACGGCGCCGGGGTTC